TTTCTTCTCCTATTTCTTCTTTTTTTTATTAAAAGATTTATTTGGCCTGATATAATATGTGGAGCGCAAATATGTCGGGTATTTTTCCCAGCAAAAATTAATGGAAATGAAATGGGGGGGGGGCATTTTCTGGGCTCCAAAATCTCACCTACCAGGGCGACTACCGGCCAATTGATTTTTTCGGGAGAAGACTTAAAATCTTTTTTTCAGAATATTATTTTTACAGGAGTCAATTTGGTGAAGGTGATTTCTGATTTCTTTAATTGAGCTGAAGCCATCCCGATTTGAATGTCAGACCGCGATGACCTAACTTCCGTGGAAATTAGTTTAATCCTGCGACGATGGTGATGGGAAATTACTAATTGATGTGCTCAAAAGCAGTTTCTTTTTGTCGAGCGTTCGAAAGTTAGGAGATTAGTTAAACGATGGTTATTGCGCTTAAAAATTCCCCCAAAAAGAATTGTCCGTTCTATCGTTTCCGATTAGAGCGAGTTATGAGATATATGTTCTTAACGTTGCTCGGGCGTACAATCATAGACAGGCGAGTTGAAAAGACTCTGCTGTGAAGTATATGGCAAATCGTCGTTCCCGAAAAGTTAAAGCCACTAGAAAATGCGTCAATAATATGTTTTATGGGATGTGCCTTCTCACTCCCGTTCACATGTAAGTCGATCATTTGGAAGTGCAAGACTCGACTCTATGTGAACAGGCACGACTCGTGTTTGGTGCGAACGAATCGCGAAGCCACCACGGGTAATGAGTTTGTTTTGGTCTTCAAGACTTTGCATTTGAGCAAAGTTCCTTGGCTCAAAGGTGCTTTCAATAAAGCAATAATAGTGTATAGATAATTGGTAATGGAAAACTTTAAAATGAAGCGAAACAAAAGAAAAAGTAAAAAAAAAAAAAGGGTGTAGAGGCATTGATGTTTGCTTTCTTCGAGAACTATTCTGTTTGCCTTCGCGATCGCGTCCTCTAGGAACGGGCAGTGCCACAACCACGATAGCATTGTCGCAGGGGTTGCCGGCGGCCCGGGCAAGGTGTTGATGGAATCGCACGATTCCAAAGCGAGGCGTCACCAAGTTCACATGCTACCGCAGGATCTGTCTTGCCTGGGTTCGGCTTGACCTCAGCGAGCATTAGCCAAATGCCGCAAGACTCCAACGAGTGGTCGACAGGAGGCAGCGAGACCGAGCGAGGCGACGCCGGAGTCGCTCGCAACCCCGCCTCCAATAATCGGGTTGAGCCACCTCTCTCTCTCTCTCTCTCCACGACCGTCGTTCACGGGAGATGAAGATATAAGGGCATATTCGGACCAGGCGCTCCGTCGATAGGGTTAAAGTAGAAAGATAAGACAGTCGGTCGTCAAAACTACCGAAAAGCCGAGGCGAATAGCGCATTGGCCGAGCTTTCGAGCATTTCTCCAGGGCAGCTCTCGACCCGTCGTAGTTTCTTAAACGACTTTTTACCAAACGCCTCAACTTCCATTGGCGGATTCTCGGACGCACTCAGCTGCCTTGAAAGTCATTCCCAATCCCCCGCACTTAACATTCTAAACATCTTTTACAAAAAGCGGGGTTAACATTAAACAAATGGTTTATTATTATTATTTATTATTTTTTAAATAAAAATTTGTGGGGGTAAAAGTGGGTCCCAGCAGGAGGAGTGTCGAACGACGAGGATTGAGTGGCTTGAGCCTTGAGGGGAGCGAGGGACATGTGTGCCCTTTTGTCCGTCGGTCTAATTTACGAGAATGGGATCCAAAAGAAGAGACCGTCGAAATCGCTCCTCATTGGCTGATCCTCCGCCCGCTCCACGTGGCACGAACAGCGGCTCCCGTCGATCCGAGAAAGCCCATGCGACACATGATAATAATAATAAATAATAATAAAAATAAAATAAGCCACCACGTGTCTGCTTTTACGCAGACAAAATGCTCTCCCACTGTTTCTCAAAGAGGGGGGGCGCCAGGTCACTCGGAATGTTTAACGCTTGATGATCCAGTAATCCACCCCCCCATGTCCCATGAGAATATAAAAATAATAATATTAAATTTTAATCAGGATCTTAATCACGAGTGCTCACGAATTTCGCGTCCCGAATATTTAATTGGGGAGGCATTTCGCCTTGCGAAGCATCTTGTGCGTGTTACGGAGACAGTCGATTTATTGAAATTACAGTATTTTTTTCATTTAGTTTCTTAAAAAGTGTCTCGATTCCCTTTTTAATTAAAAATCACGAGTACCATGGGAATTTACTTTTGACGTATGGAATCGTTCTCCTCCCCCCTTTTTGTCCAATCAAGTAATTGTAATTTTATCTTAGACCTCTTGAACTGTCATCGCTTGTTTCAAGTTGATCCTCTCCAACTTCAAATCAGCTTAAATTAGGGCGACGCGTATGTTGGAATCGACACTGAGTTATAAACATTTTTATTATTATCATTATTAAGTATGCTTGACGTTGGAATAGTGCATTCATTAGCGTAACCCAAAAGGTTTGCCCAAAGAACAAAAGAAGAAGAATTTTCAATTTATGCACCAACCTTTTTTTAGTGATGTATACAGCTTGAAAATCAAGGAAGGGGAAAAGTTGCGAGCCTTGCGGGCCACCGATTACATTCGGACTTTCTCTTGGAAACACTTTTGAGAGTACGGATTCATGTATCTCTAACAACAGTCTTGATATTTAAAAGTAATCAAGGGGATAATTGCAAAAGTAGTCCTTAACTTTGCTCTTTATATCAAATCATTCCTCAGATTTCACAACCACCGTTTGATATTTTCCCAACCTAAAAGGACCTATATGTCCTCATGCGAGCTCGAAATTTACACACATGAGGAGAAACATGGCATTGAGGACCGGGTAACTTGCGAAAAATTAGGATGGTAATTCTAGGTCCCAAAAAGCAAAGGGGATATTTCATATGGGGAATAGAGTTAGAGACGATACTTGTAATTTTCTCAAAGGGAAAATGACACAAATGATCACTGAACTTTAGTTTAATGTATATTATCTCTAAACTTTTAATTTGTTCAATAATGGTTCTTGAATTTTACTCAATTTGCAATGTCGTCATTTGAATTTTTTATTTGTTCAATGTGGTCCATGAACTTTTTGTACATATTCAATTTAGTCCCTAGATTATATGAAAATATTCAATGTCGTACTTCCATTAATTTAAATTCAGAGACAACATTTAACATTTTCATACAGTTTAAGGACTAAATTGAATATGTAATAAAAGTTTATGAACCGCATTGAAAAAATTAAAAGTTCAGGGATGATACTGTATATCAGTATAAAGCTCAAAGATCACATTGAATAAATTTGAAGTTCGAGGACGACATTGCACATTGATTCAAAATTCATAGACCATTTGTGCAATTACCCATTTCTCAAAAGAAAACATCACTAACCTTCTCTTGATGCCTTGGCTTGAGTGTGCTTTTATTCTGATCGATTTCTTTTTCTTTTGTCTTTTTGGCCAATTCATTGCCTTGCTTAGTGACAGGGCACCCTCCACATAAGACGCCACGTCATCGGATAGCAAAATTTATAGGGCTAGTTTAAAAAACTGGAAAAAAAAATCTCAATAATATATCTGTGCTGAATATTAAGTATTGGAAGCTTTTACTGCTAGATACAGAGAGAAAAGATGTATGATGATAGATAAAAATCGAATAATAAATGCAATTAATTTGGTTTTTTTGTCAAAAAATACAATTACGAATAATTTGTTACCAAGATGTATTCGTGGTTGGTAGCTTTTCTGCGACATAAAGTGGTGATGTAAATTTCTCAATACATTAGATGCACTTAATGACAATTAAAGTGCTGAAAAAATGTCAATTTATAGCACTTGATGTGACTATGAAAAGCTTGTCAAAGACTAGCAACTTCCCGACATTATTGCGAATACAATTGGCAAAAACCGATCTCTCGTTCCCATTGGCGGGACTTAAATGAACACGACTTAAGTAGATCTCGAGCTAACACCAACCCAAATCAAAGTCCGAGGAAGTCCGGTCCACGTCATTATCAGCGCCTGCATAGGAAAATTGAATGGACGGAAGGCGTTGCCGGTCAAGCAAATATCCAGTAGCTGGGCAAAAATTCACGTGAAGGTTAGAAAAAAAGGCCAAAGAAAAGAAAACAAAACAAGAAAAATGGTCTCAGGGGAATTTGAGGGCACGGTAATTCTAACGTAATGAGCAGTTTTCGTACCTTCTGGTCTTTCATCGCTAGGCTCTATCAATCATCCAGATGGAGGAATGGATGTGATGGCCCTGATGGGATTGGACCATGTTAGGAAAGTCCAATAAGTGGGCCTAAATTTTTCTTTTTAGGAACTTCCGTACCATAATTCCGATTTGCCTTCCCACATGCATCTTATATTCACGCGGCCAATTTTTCGAGCTTGACAGACCAACGAAAACTTTTCGAGTTTAGCGTTCCCTTCAAATTACCACAATACCCTTACCTTAATATAAAACAAGCGAGAAGAAAACACGTTAGGATATTATCAATGGAGATTTGAAACCACCGAGCAATTACCTCGTGAATTGTTTATTTTCATATAGAACATTGGCTTCAATTTGAAATTTAATTGGACGCTCGCGTAGTATTTGCGAAAGAACTAGCATTCTCTAAAGAAAGATTTTATATTCGTCTTTGCAATTTGGAATGTTCCTGTAAATTTAACCATAAATTTATTTGCTTCGGTTAATTTTTCTTTTTACGAGACATGTATTTTATATATTATAGAAGCCACGTAGATAGAGTCGGTCAATTAAGACTAATTGGTTCTATAAGTATATGGCAACTCAACTTTGTTTGCTCATCTTTTCCAAGTTTGTAATCAAATGTTTCACGAGGAATTGACAAAGAAATTTGACCCAAAAAATAAAAATAAAAATCGATAAAAAGAAAGAAGAGAAATTAATTAAAATTTATTGATTCTCAAAATTCATTCATTCAATTTTATTTTTTTTGGTATTCATTCATTCAATTTTAACCCTGTCGTTCCTCCTCCATGAATTTCTTGGCCTTCTCATACACCTCCTCCAGAAACCCCCTAATTCTCACCACATCCAACCTCACATTCTGCTCCTTCAAGTACACCCTCATCACCTTCGCCGACCAACCGCCGCCGTTGGCGGCCGCCGGGTCCTTCAGCAGCACGCTGTCCCTCCCGTACCTCTCCAACAAGCTGCTTTCCTCCGGTGCGATCCTGTACTCCACGTAGCTCAGCCCCACGGCGCGTGCCGGCTCCTCGAAGCACGCGCGCGCCACCCAGCCCGCTCCGATCGGCACCACCTGCCCCAGCACCGCCCCCGGCCGGAGGAACAGGGTGTGCGTGAGCGCCGCCCCGTGCACGCCGACCAGGGCGTGGCTGGAGTTGATCAGCTCGTACGCCTCCCGCAGCGGCGTGCTCCGCTTCGGCTCGAAGACGGCCACCTCGAAGCCGACCGCCTCAGCCAGGTCCGTCACTTCCTTCCGGTTCAGGATCACGCGCCCGACGCCGCCGCTCCTGGCGGTGATCACGAGCCGCGGCCTCCACGCCGGAGACCGAGGAGCGGCCGCGGGGGCCTCGGGGCGGTTGCGCCGGTACGCCTCGTCGAGGAATCGGCGGAAATGCAAGAAGGTTCTGGAATTAGGCGTCAATTTGGGGTTTATCGTCATGAATCCGTGAGAGATCAACCCGAGCGAAGCGGAAGGGAAGCAATGAGAGCCCTTGGCGCGGTCGACATATACGACGGGACGATCGCTGAGAGCTCGGAGCAAGTCCCCATACTTGTGGATCCACCTGCCGGTGGCTCCGTCGATCACGAGGACGAAATCGCGGCCGGGGAAGACGGTGTTGGCGGTGACGAAGAGGGGGACGAGGCCGTCGCCGAACTCGTGGAAGAAGTTGCCGGTGTAGCCGCCGACGCTGAACACGAGGGCGGGGGCGTCGTGCTCCACGTCGCACCGGCGGCCTTCCGGAGGGCCGGCGGCGAGGGCGAGGGTGAACTCCTTGATCTTGGACATGGTGGAGTTCTCCCATTTGCGCGGGTGGGGGCGGATCCTCTCCGGGGAGAGGCGGCCGGCGGTGGGGCGGAGGAGGAAGAAGGTGGCGGTGGGCGGGTGGAGGAGGGTGGGGCCGTTGACGGTGCAGGTGTCGTATGCGCGGTGAGACCGGTCGCAGGTGATTGCGGCTGCCGCTAATTCTCTAGATTCAGGGGATTGCGTTTGACTGTCGAGTGGTGGGGCCCCCGTGATCTCTCCTCGTTGTGTTGGTGACAACCTTTTGGTACCTGCGACTGCGAGGAGCAGAAGAAAAGTCAGACAGGAGTCCAACTGAACGTGGAGTTTTTCCTTTCCCTGAACCCACGTTTTATATCTCCGAGGCATTTGATCGATAAACCATAAAGCGTGAAAGTTCCGAAAATTAATTCGCGGAAAAATTATTTCACTCAAATAAACATATCCTTTGTAAGTTTCATTCAACAGTTAAGAGAGAGCCGAACATATTCCTTCTAATTCGTTTGGAAAAATGACATAAATAATCCTAAACTTTGGCCCAACGTGCAATGTGGTCCCTAAAATTTTAATTTATTCAATGCGATTCTACAAATTTAATCCAATGTACAATGTGATCTCTAAATTTTAATTTGTTCAATATAGTTCTCGAACTTTTGATACACGTTCAATGTAGTCCTTCTAAAAATTCAAGATCATGGATCACATAGAACATTTTTATATTGTTCAGCGACTACATTAAACTTTAGGGATCATATTGAACAAATTAAAAGTTCAAGGATCACATTGAATATTAGGCCAAAGTTTATGGACCGCATCGAACAAATTAAAAATTCAGAGACCACATTGCACATTGAGTTAAAATTCAATGACCATTTATGTCATTATCCCAATTCGTATTATTCGATAATCATAAATTATAAGCAGACGATAACGCACAAGAAGATTAAGCTCGTGATGCAATCCGTAAACGGTTGAATGATCAAACTTCTCTTCCCTCCATATGATGGATTGTTCGCCTTAGTTGAAAGCATCAACTGTCATTACATATACAAATCAGAAACTAAACGGCAAGCAACAAATACCGACCATGTTTATTATGATCGAGTCTACTAGAAGCAAACAAAATTGGAATCCTTTTCCTACGTTGTTCCAATCATGTCCGCAGTTGAACGCGTTTCCTTCAATTAAATCAATCAAGTATACATTGATTTCACCAATTATTCAGCAGTCGATACTTTGACTTATAGATGAGAATTTGAAGCCAGTTATACGGATGTATCATGGACGTAATAATTAATGGTAGATAGCTCGCAATTAAGCCAAAGTAGAAATGTTGACACCACTTCTTGGGTTGGCATAGTAAGTTAGGTCTGCTATCACAGGCCGCAGTCGAGATAGCAACCGTGGGGCACTTAGGGTTCCAAACGACTCGCTCGTCCCTTATCTGGAGTCGCATAAGCTCAATCTTTCTCTCGTTAATCGATCACTCTCTCACTTGATCCATTACGGATCGTAGAGAGATCCTCTAAAGAGAGCGTTATCATGAATAGAATACTCTGTTGTTCTTCTTGAGTTGGATTCATGGATATTGCAGATGAACGGGGTGAGAGAACCCCCTTTATTAACACGGAACCCCTCAAATTGCAAGTGTGGATCTCCTCTTGATCTAATGGTGAAAATCAAATCTCTGCGTCTACCATCTACCTCTTTAATTGCAAGAATGCTATAGAATATAAGTGTGCAATTCCAGCATTACCCCTAAGAATAGTTTAGAGTGCTCATAAAAAGCCTAGACCCCAATCCTAGAGGCTTCAAGACATGTCCGGTCATTTTGGCCACCTTCTCAACCTATCATGATATGAAAGCCTTTGATCCGTGACACTAGGACCTTCCGCATTAAGAAATAAAAGGTGGTCTCAAGTTTGATCCTCATCAGCGTCGGTTCCTTGAGACCATACTTAGAGTCACAGACTGGTACAACTTTACAATAACGCCGTATGATCGGGGCGAGAAGACCGCCACATCCTATGTGGATCAGCTGATTGTCGTTAGACGTTAAAGACCTCAATGAATTCAAAAGGTGTGGGGTGGACGAGGACCACGCACATGAAACACAATTGCGTTTGTTTTGTGGAGTTGCCAATAATGACTAATGCTCATTCAAGAAAGGGACATCTACAGTCAGCTTCCATGACTTTGACAAGGAAACTCATTTTTTTCCCCGTCCATGCAATCTGCAAAAGCATGCAACAAATTTGGGCAACTAACTAGTCATGGCAAGACCAATCAATGTTCCTGGAAAGCTAATCTGAGCATAACACAATCCGTTCTCTATGACAAAGCTGGAAAATGGGAGAAATAAAATTTCTGGGGAGAACTTCGAAATCTCAGTCGAAGATTATCCAGAAAAGCGTATAGATTTTCTTCCCTTTTTGGTGGCGTTCGCTCTGAATGAGCTTCACCAATTCGAGCAATCCACACCATTGTGAAGGAGTGGAATGAACGAAACAAGAAGCATCCTATGGAAATAGAAACAGAGAGAGATCTGAAGAGGGCTTAAGCATTAACGCATACCTTGAACGTTCTTGGTGAGGGAGTGTGGAGGAGTAGTGACGCTCGGCCTGGACACGGTCGAGACATCGATGCGAAGCACCAGGAGTGCTACGAAGAAAACCAGGCCTACCAGAACGCCCCGAGCCCCTTGGCTTCTCTTATTCATTGCACCCACGCGACTTTTTTGCTCCAAGAAAAAGACCCAAAGAAACAAGGCGCGATGATTCGCAACCTGTGTCTTTTTGACAGAAATCACACCCGCACGCACAAGGGAGAGATCGGATAGAGAGACTCCCAATGATGGGTTGTGAGAAACAGCAGCTCTTTAGCTGTGGATGTTTCGCTCTGTGTCATCAACCCGTCGAGTTTCTGGATGAAACTCTCAAGAGAGATGCATGCTGGAGAGAGAGAGCGAGAGAGAGAGAGAAGCGAGACTTGTACGCTAAGGACTAGTTAGGGAAAGCGCGCTTTAACGGCGAAGACTCGCACCAGGTGTCGCAGAAGGCCGAAAAGGAGAGAAAATATGATATGCTATGAGGCAATTGTTTGCAGTAGGTATATTATATACAACTATCCAAGGGGCGAAAATAATGATTCAGTACACGTTTCGTTTCGTGAATCGAAAAGAAAAAGATGTAAAGAAATCACCCAGTGAGCATATGCCATATATCAACCTACCTTAAATGAGAGATATGTCTCCCCCAGATCACACATTGCGACAGCATTTATAATCAAAGTCAAACGCGAGGAATTGGTCTTGGTCTGTCAATGGCATTTCGTGTGATCCCGCAGAGCAGCTCCTCACGTTGGAGTGTCACTCGTCTGTTGTAGGTGGTGAGCCAACAGCGTCTCACATCGAGAGATTCTTCGGACGGCACAAGAAAAAAAACTTGGGTTTGATTAGGTTTTCTCAACCTGTTCTTGGTTTGATACCTTTGTTTATTGGTTATTCTCTAAACTCGTTTTTATTACACCACCTCGAGTACATATCGTACGTACGTTTCCCACATAGGTACAGTCAAATTGCAACAATGATCCTAAGATAGGATTTAAAAATGCATTGTGGTCTATCAAATAAGTCGCTCTCAAGTCATCCATACTACTATATACATCACGCAATTTATAATTACCAATAATGTTTTGAGTGAAAAAGATTGACCCATTATGTGTAAGTCTTTCATGAACCGAGAATACAATTGCAACTTAATAATAGTTTCCTAGTCCTTGTCAAAATTCTCTCCAACTCATCCGAACACGATTAGTTTGAATCCAAACCCCATTAATTTCGTGTCGTGTTAACATTGTTGCCCCTGAACAAGAAGCCCTAAGCAAGAGTGAGTGTGACAAACTTACCCGCAGTCTTCTCTTTTCTTTGCAGCAGCAACAAGGTTGCTAACCTTGTTGGTCTTTTAGTCCTCTCCGATTCCTATAAGCAGGAATTGATGCCCCTAACCTTCCATTCTGTTACGGCTGTTAACCCTTTGTTATTTGTTTATGTGATTTCTATTTAAACGGCTTCAACCACCTTTATGTGAATATTCAGAACACTTACTGTAAATTGTTACCGTACAAGTCTCTTTAGTTAATTGCCACTAGAAAGGACTCTTTGTCCAGTATGTTCATATGTTTAGCAGGAGCAGGAAAATTTCACTATTCTTCTTAATTAGTGATTTTGTGCATAATTTTTGCACATATCTTTTCTCATTGGAGGTTACTTTTTTGACTGATTGCCGATACAGCATCCTGAATCTTGTTTGCACACAGATATTCCGAGAAGAAAAGGGTTGATGAGAGCCAGAGTTTGACTCTCGATGGTATTCGGCGTTCATTAATACATCTGAGAGGACAGCGATATCTTTAGCCTTTTGGAAAGGGTTCGGTATTGTTACGATGCTGATACATATGACCATGGCACCTTTCCCATCGAAAATTTTCACGGGTGTTTGGTTGAGTTTATGGTCAAAGAAACTGAAAAGCTGCATTCCCCAGTAACTTTGTTTCATAGATAAATAGAGGCAGTTCCATAGAAGGTTGCAATAGTCCTTAATTGATTTTCCAAATACTATGTCAATTGGCAGATACAAGAGTTCCAATGAGCATCCTTTCTTCCCTGCCTACCTTCCCAAGTCAATGCTTTTGTCTTAGTCCCACAGTTATCATCAGACTCAGGCCATTCTTCTATGATTGTGAACATCAATAGATTAATGTTATGTTCTCTTGGTTGAGGCTCTCATTATCACGATATAATTCTGAGATTGTATTTTCAACATATCGAATAGCTTTGCTGTCATTCTTTAAAATAAGTATGTCAGTGGAGAACCAATTTCCCCAGTTCCCTTATCTGCGGTGTCTTAATGTTAAGTTCGAGAGTAGTCTCCCCTGATTAGTAACTAGGTTTAGTGTTTTCTAGCATCCACTGTACCTGTTATCAAAATCTACTTGTAGGGCGCACATCTGGTCAATGGCTAGCTACACTGGAGAAGTGCCATGCCACTTCTTTTGGTGGATATTTTCATGGGTAAGAGAGAGAGCAGAATGTCTAACTCAGTTGAGAGATGGAAACCCTTCTTCTTAATGTGTCCAATATTAGAGGTCTGTATGGTTGTTGAAGGAAACATACTTATAAAATAATTTGAAGGGAATATATTATATGATAATTGATTTTGAGTTCCCTAAGCCTTATTAGTAGTATATTCTGTACGCACGGATTTATAGTAATGCCTTATTGAATGTAGATTTCTGACATAATGATGACATTATGGAGCTCATGTGAAAAAAATAGGTGTGTGTTGGTGACAGAAAGGTTGAAATTGCGACAGCTTAATTGAAGAGGAAGTAGGAGGAGATTATGGCTCATCATCTCAAAATTACATAATGCGTTCCCGTGTGTCAATATGAATGCTAGGGTAACAAGTGGTCAGTATCACTTCTACTGAGTAGTGAAAATCTACAGCAGTAATTGTATTTGCTTTTGCTATCTGGAGAGGGAAGTGATCTACTAGAAACGTAGAATTATCTTCAATTAAAGATCATTTCTTGGTTGTATCTCCCGCTTCCAATATCCAATATCTTCTCATATATAAATAGGTTACCCCTGTGCTGATTCAATCAAAATAAACACTAAGGAGTGGAATATGTACTCTAGGGATCTACTCCGATGATTGGTAAAAGCTGGAGATGATGGTAATTGTTGATCAGCTGCTGTATGCGACACAATTTGCTTACAGGTACACCAATCCATTCATAGTGTTCTTGTTCACAGGTTTGAGTTTGTTTGAAGGAAGTGATCCCTCCTCTCTCAGAATCCTCTGATGAAGTCGCTTATCGAAAAAAAAAATAGATGAAGTTGCTTTAGTATCTTGAGTTGGGTTTTAACGATTGTAGAGTAAATCCTTCATCAGCGACTGGAGGCATAAGTATGTTCTAATTACGGCACCTGTTTTCATACTGAATGATGTTTTCAGACTAGTGTTTAACTTGTAGATTTACTGCTTGCACTTGCTGCAGGAACTCTCTGAGAGAACCCACTATGGAATCTTTGTCGCCTAGGCAAAATTTGGAGTGTCCCCTGCTCCTTGCGAGGCTGCGTTAAAGAGTTAAAGTATGACTTATCCCGCATCTCAATTTATGCTTCCAATGCACTGAAGAGTACATGGTACTCCCAAAACAATCGTTCTCTCATCTTTGGGAATGCAGGGTCTTGCGGGATAGGGCGAAGGTAATGGATTTGCTTAGCTATGAAGTTGTGGAATCGGCTGTCAAGAGAAGAGTACAGATGAAGGCAAAAGCATACGGGCAGTAAGTGAGGATCAACAACTAGGAAGACAAAGTCTATCCGGTCTACAAAATCAAGCGGAGTTTAGTTGCCAATCTGTACAGTGATTGGATCGTGCCTTTGACAAAAGAAATTCAGGTCGAATGCTTGTTGAAAAGGTTGGACTAGCGGAAATGCCGGCATTCTCTAATCTAGACCATTAGTGTTAGCGCATTTAACATATGTATATCAAACTTCCACACTTTCAAATGAATAATTTACCGGGATGGTAAACGCGCCACTTGATGAAACTAAGCTGTGCTCAGCATCCTTTTGGGCTTCTCCTGAAGCAAAACAAGCACTTGCCAAACCGCTGAAGCCAAGGCTGCTAAAAGGGTCGAGCTCTTGGCTCAAAGTCCGAGGCTTGAGTCCGATGTAAAGGAGAGCTACTGATCGGGCGCTGGACTGTACTGTAGTCCCGATCCTGCTAGTTCGAGCTTTGCCGAATCGACGCGACTGTCATACGCCACGTTTCTCGAAGTCAGACCAAGCTCCATGAGTTGTTCTTAGCACAGCATGATCTTTCAGTTGGCATAAAGGGTTGTGCACACATGAAAGTGTCCGTCTATATTAACCAAATTTTGCGAGTGGCTGTCTCCGTCAATGCTCATGAGCTGGAAAGATACAGAAGCAGTCGGTCCCTCCATGTGCTTACAGCTACGGCATCTATGGAGTTTCCCAAAAACAAACAGGTAAAGGCCCTGTGAATGCGTTACTGTTAAGCATTTTGTCCAAAAAGATGATGACTTTATGGTACCGAAAGATTTCTACGTGTACGTGGTATGTTTTGCGGCCTTCTCTGTCCTGGATTGGACCGTGTGGCCTTGGATTTTCAGTAATTTCTCGGTCGCTTCCTTGTGATTATACGATGAAATGGAGGAAGATCACTTATCATAATAGGCACGCTCATAGAAAAAATACTTCTACCGTTGAAAATCTATGGATCGCTCGTTCGATCTGTAACGTATGACGATTGATGTTGTCAAATTTGATATGGTAGATAGGAAATTTCAAACTTGGCAAGATGATAATATGGATGAATCGGTTTGAATTGATGCAAACATCGTGCATGATGACCACAAGGATTCGGGAATATCTATTATTTAGGAAACTGAAATTGATTTATAGGCAACCCTCTTCCCAATACACGACGACTACGTACTAGCTTTTACACTGCGTTTGTTATGAGGAATTAAAAGGGAGGAGAAAGGGTTAAAAAAAACACAATAATATTTAGGTGGATGGAAACGGACCCAAGGAAATGATTAGGATTGATTTGTCCAATCAATTTTACGTGTGTTTTAAATTTTGCTGATTCTCTTCAAATGATTAGGATGGGTTTTGAAGGATTTGGATATTAATAAATGAATTTATTCTATTATCTTTCCATTTATACCCTATTTTATATTCAATTATCAATACATGAAAATGACTTTTTTATGTCCTAATGTGCTCTTTTCCTTTCTTTTTCCAATTGCTTGAATTCGGATATCATCATGATTCAATCCCTCTCGATACTTTCCCTCCTGTCTTTTTAGCTAATCCCTACAACCAAGTTCGGTATAAAAGCCATTTTGAATGCTTTCTCTAAAAAAATTTTAATATCAAAAGAACTTTTGATATCTCAAACATATATATATATATATATATATATATATATATATATATATAATTTGATGGTCTAAAGATGATCTGAACGGCATTATGGGGAAAAAAGAAAGAAAAGAATTATCAGGAAGTAAATAAATTTGTCGTCTTTTATTTTTTTCTTATCTCTTTTATTTTTTTTTATCGAGAACAGGAAGCGCCGCTTTTTGACTGCTTTCACTTGCGCACACATAAATCTGCATGCTTTGTCTCTCTCTCTCTCTCTGTCTCTCTGCTCTGTCACTCTTTCACTGCTCGTCGTCGCTCGGATTCGAGAGAGAGAGCAGAGAGCGAGGGAGGGGGTGACTCTAGCCGAAAGGGCCGATAACCCACCATTTCTCTCGACTCCGTAGCGAGAGTTTGAGGTGGAGAGAGAAAGAGAGGGAGAGGGAGGAGGGGCGATGGAGAAGGCATTGACGAAAGTGAGCAGCTTGAAGCTGGGGAACTCTTGGATTTCGAAGAGGGCCAAGGCGGAGATCTCCAACATCACCGAAGACATCACCGTGAGTGTCTTTATTCTCTTTTGTCCTGAAAAGCTGCGTATTTTTTCTTTCTTTTTTTTTTTGGAGTGATTTTTTTGCCCGATAATGTGGCTCGAGCGTGGTGTCCCGCGGATCCCCTCGCTCCTTCCCGAACGATCGACGCCTTTCTACGAGTGGGGGTGGACATAGCGACCGGGTGCGGTGCCAGATCTGTGGATTTGAGGGGAGATGAGTGAGGGAAGTTTGGTTCTGGAGGGGACATTGTGATTGTTTTCTGGTCGGCAATGTCGCCGGATCTTTTGAGGGTAATCTTCACCCGATGCGTTCAAAACACGAGGATTATGAGGCAAGATTATCAGAAAAGATGGCAGCTTTTAGTTGTCCGCGTGATGGGTGGGATCGAAATTTGAAGTGAATGTAGTAAAAATTGCTTCTTTGTTCCGAGTATGGGACAGCGGCTTTTCAGTTGATTCTTTGGGGTGACCGCTGCGTGTCTTTCTGTGCCAATGGTTGTGAGTTCTGATCATGGAATAGCTTCTAACAGGGTTGTGATCGTCTAGCCTATACACAACTTAGTGGAATAAGACTTGGTCTGTTGTCGTACAATAGCTTCCGGTTTGCAATTCAGCACTAATGTGGCTTCTAGTGTGCAACCGACGCTAATTTGAAATTTATTAATTGCCCAGTTCGCTTTCAAGAGCATTGTAGGGGAAGTTCGCCATTGCCCATCAAAGAACGTAACTGTTAAAATTAGTGTACTTCCTCTGGTTCATTAGATGAGAATTGATATAGATTGGAACCTTCTCCAACTTATTAAAATCAAGTTAAATCCCCATCTTTTCTCATCAGCCACATGCTAGTTGACTCTCGGGACACTTGACGACATTTCTACTTTCAGCGGCTACTCTAACATAACGGAGTCTTATGATTTGCAAAGGAGCCATAATGTTTTTGCACCTGGGATTTCCTGGTTATGTACCTTAAACTAGAATGCTTAAGACATATGGCACCTTCGATATCATGTGAAAACACGGTTGGTCAAATGCTTGCAGAGTGTTGAATTTGCTGGTATATCTATTGATAAATGAGCTGAAAGAGTTTTGTTTTTTGGTACCCATGAGTTGCAGTCTTGAACTGGTACAGTAACATAGCAAACCTAAGAGATTTAGATCAGCAATTAGAGCTTTGCTTAACAATCTGAATTTTGTTGGTCGAGCATTAGTTATATTCAGGAGCTTGATAACATATTTGTGCTTAACATATTTGTGTCTTGTTGCAGTATGTCTCCAATGCTGTTGAAGAGAAGGCAAAATGGATTTTCAACAAGCTGAAAGGTAAGGAACATCTACTCTTTAGACCAATAGAAACAATCTGGATTTCGTATTCCAAGTTGCCTATTGGTAAACACTTATTTATTGCAATCAAAGAACACAGTTACAGATGGATATGTTTCCAAAACTTTGGTAACTATCTTTACTGTGCACTAGTCACCTTAGATTTTCCTGCATTTGAAGAGATGAGATGAATTGTTGTTTTTTAGACTTACTGAAGAAACTTTTCTGCTGGATCTACTTAGCTAGCCAGCTGCTGTTCACTATCTTTCCCTTTCATACTATTTGGCATCTGTAATTGTATCATTATTTATTCCATCGAGTTCTCGTATTGCAAGAACTGTTAGATTAACGTTTTGCATCTTGATTTACTTCCCATATAGGAATCAGCCAGTGCTCTGTCTCGGCTTCTGGAGCTTCTCTTTTGCATTAATAAAGTTCATTTTGCTTTTTGGGGGTCTATGAAATTTGTCAGTATATGTGTAGTAACATGAAAAAAAAATTATTATAAACCAATTAGCACGGTCGTTTTAAATGATTAATCTGTTTCTCTATGTTGATCGATTATTGTTTCCTCATTTTTAGGAAAGCCACAGAGAACCTTGCCAGAGCTTCTTCGAGAGTACAACTTACCGCCAGGGCTTTTCCCCCAGAACATAACTTGTTATGAATTTGATGAATCAAAGGCCAAGCTGATTGTCTACTTGCCTTCTGCTTGTGAGGTTACCTTCAAGGACTCTTCTGCAATTAGATATGCGAATCGTGTGAAAGCAATCCTGATGAGAGGGAAGCTCACTGGTATAGAGGGGATGAAGACTAAAGTCCTGGTGTGGGTTAAGGTGACGAGTGTGACAGTCGAGGGCTACAAGTCCGACAAAGTATGGTTCATGGCTGGCGTGAAGAAGTCGAGGGCAAAGGATGCCTACGAAATGCCCCGTGACGCTGTCAGAGTGGAAGAATTTTGATCTACTAAAGGGGAGTAGCATCTCCTAATATTTCTAGACAGTTAAGCATAGGTATCTATATATCTGCATTGTTCCAAGACCAAATTTGCAGCCTCCGCCATTTGATTTTGTTTATAGTTATTAGTTGCCGCATCTGGGAATGGATTTTTCTCAATTTATTGCTTTGTGCAATTTATGACTGATGAGTCTAAGCAATCTGATCAGCCCTTTGTAGTAACTTCTTGCGCAGCCTGTGGAGAAGTACAATCTGTGATGGAAAGTTGTCTACTTTAGCATTATCATGCTCTCTTCAGTTAATGAAGAATGAACGTGTCATTATGAGTTAGTGGGTAAAATGCATGAATACCAGGAATTAGAGATGCGTTTGGATTAGCAACTTGTTCGCGGACAACACTTGGGCAAAAGAGAAGTTCTACCATTCTGCTTCGGATGGATGAGGAAAATTTGAACTTGTCTGGACTACAGCATGGTGTTCTTCGATCACATTTTTGGCTGTGAATCCTCGCCCTCCTTTTCTTTGGGCATGCTCAAATTGAATGTGCATCCCCATGAATATGTGTGGAATTTTAGATGGAGAGAAATCCTTTTTCTCATTCATATTTACTACCTCTTTACATTGTCATATTTATAGACTAATACACAGAGGAGCCCTAGCAAACAAAATAGGAAACAAAGCCTAAATAGGAGAACAGCTACAATCCCACGATTTGTGGGATTTAACCAGAATAAAAAACTCCTAAATAGGAAAAATCTACTCCTATCAATCAGTCAATTATCCTACATATTTACAGCCATATAATCTGGATATTTACAGCTCAACACTCCCTCTCAAGCTGGTGAATAGATATCTTCCATTTCCAGCTTGGTAACTAGCTCGTGAAAACTTCCACCATTAAGTCCTTTGGTCAAGACATCTGCCACTTGCTGTCCTGAAGGAACATAAGACAAACAAATTAGTCCTTCTTCAAGTTTCTCCTTGATGAAGTGCCTATCGATCTCAACGTGCTTTGTCCTGTCATGCTGCACAGGATTATGAGCAATATTAATTGCAGATTTATTGTCACACTAAAGCTTCATAGGACTTTGCCACTCGACCTTCAAGTCATCAAGAATGATCTTGAGCCACAATAACTCACATATTCCATGAGCTGTTGCCCTAAACTCAGATTCTAAACTAGATCTTGCCACCACATTCTGTTTTTTACTTCTCCAAGTTACCAGGTTACCTCCAAGGAAAGTACAATAACCAGTTGTAAACCTCCTGTCAACCACGGATCCAGCATAATCCGCATCTGTATAAGCCTCAAGCTTAAGATCAGGACTCTTCTTGAATAGTACTCCCTTCCCTGGGCTCCCTTTCAAGTAGTGTAGGACTCTATGAGCAGCCTGTAGATGTGACTGCTTTGGATTATGCATGAATTGACTAATCAAGCTTACTGCATAGGAGATATCTGGTCGGGTATGAGCAAGGTAGATCAACTTTCTGACCAATCTCTGATACATTTCTCGATCCACTGCTGCTTCCTCTTGTGCTTCTGCTAGTCTCTGGTTTGGCTCAATCGGAGTAGTTACTGGTTTGCAACCAAGTTTCCCGGTTTCTTCCAAAAGATCCGTCACATACTTTCATTGTGAAATAAAGATCCCTTGCCTTGAGTACGAAACCTCAATTCCCAGAAAATACCGTAACTTTCCTAACTCCTTTATTTCAAACTTCTGAATCAAGTACTGTTTCAGCCGCTGTTTCTCCCTTTCATCATTGCCCGTGACTATTATGTCATCAACATACACCAATAATGTTGTAACTTCCCCTGCGTCCGAATGTTTTATAAAAAGTGTATGATCTCCCTGGCTTTGTTTATACCCAGATGCCTTCATGACTCTAGCAAACCGTCCAAACCAAGCTCTAGGTGACTGCTTGAGCCCGTATAGTGCCTTTTTAAGTCTACAAACCTTTTCTGTTGTTTCCTGTCCTTCAAAACCAGGTGGAATGCTCATGTAGATTTCCTCTTCCAAATCTCCGTGTAAAAATGCATTCTTTACATCATATTGTTGAAGTTCCCAATCAAAATGAGCAGCTAAGGACAGTAAAATTCTTACGGTATTCATTTTAGCCACTGGTGCGAATGTCTCTTGGTAATCCACTCCATATGTTTGAGTGTAACCTTTTACAACCAATCTTGCTTTGTACATCTCTAGAGAGCCATCTGCCTTGTACTTTACAGTGAATACCCACTTGCACCCAACTATATTTTTCCCTTTTGGCCTATCAACAATTTCCCATGTTTTATTTCTTTTTAGTGCCTTCATCTCTTCTATCATGGCATTCCTCCATTCCTCTTTTGACAATGCTTCAGACAAAGTGTTAGGGATAGCAATAGAGTTTAAACTCACAATAAAGTTTTGGTATGGTGATGATAATCTATTAAGGGACACATAATTTGATAGTGGATAAACTGGTTTCCTGGTGCACTCTCTAATCCCTTTTCTAACAGCAATAGGTAAATCAAGATCAGCCTTAGGTGTATCATTAAGATGTTTATTCAAAGGAGGTTCAGGACATACTGTGTTCTCATTGGCAGCACCCGGAGTGGCATTTTGGACCTGCTCTTGTGTTAGAACGGATGTCCTCCTTGAATACACCTGAGAAAATCTCACAGAATCATGGATATGAGTTGGACTAGTGGAAATAGGAACAGAACCAGGTTGAGTTGGACTAGTGAGAATAGGAACAGAATCAGGTTGGTGTGTGGGAGATTGTGGTGGGCAAGAGATAGGATTCAAGGTAGGTTCATGAGCTACAGTGGACGAGTTTGGGTTGACAGGGACATTGGACATTAAATCCAGGTTATCAATAACACCATGGCCCTTATCTTCCATGACTGAAATCTCCCCCTGAAGATAAGGTTGTGAAAAATAGGGTTTATTTTCAACGAAAGTGACATCTGCAGAGAGATAGAATTTTTTGGAAGGGGGATGGTAACATTTGTAGCCCTTTTGTGTTTGTGAGTAACCAAGAAACACACATTTGATTGCGCGAGGATCTAACTTTCCTCGTTGATGATGATGAATGTGGACAAAGGAAGTACAACCAAAGACTCGAGGTGTAAGACCATTAGATGTACGAAAGTGAGGATAGAACTGAGAAAGAACTTCCATAGGAGTCTTGTGGTCTAATGTACGAGAGGGTAGTCTATTGGTCATGTATGTGGCTGTAAGAACAGCTTCCCCCCAATATGTTTTAGGAACTTGCCCGTGAAACAATAGGGCACGAGTTGTGTTAAGGAGAAGACCATTTTTTCTTTCAGCAACCCCATTTTGTTGGGGTGTATTCACACAAGATGATTCATGGATAATACCTTCCTCATGAAAATACGAGGACAATACTTGATTGAAGTAATCTCTAGCATTATCAGATCGAAAGACCTTGATCTTAACCCCAAACTGAGTTTGAATCATGGAACGAAAGGAAGGAATAATGCTTCTCACATCGGATTTATGTTTGAGTAAGAAAGTCCACGTGATCCTAGAACAATCATCAATTAAAGTGACAAACCAACGAGCTCCAGAGATGTTTGGAATCGTGGAAGGTCCCCAAATGTCACTATGGATCAAGTCAAAAGGATTAGAACTACGACGATTGCTAATAGGAAATGGTACACGATTATGCTTGGCTAACTCACAAACATCACAACGGAAATCTTTAATATTCAAACCTTTAAACAAGGATGGAAACATAATACTCAAGACTTGAAAGGACGGATGACCAAAACGAAAATGATGAAGCCAAATAGCTTCTTTATTTGAAGTACTAAGAAACGATGAAGATAGAGTATTCATGATTCTTCTTGTAGTGAGAGGTGTCTCAAGGTAGTACAGCCCATTTTGTTCCTTAGCAAGTCCAATCCTCCTCTCCGAGTCCTGATCCTGAAAAACACAATAGTATGGGTAAAAAATGATTTGACAATGAAGATCTTTTGTGAGTTTTTGTATGGATATAAGATTGGCAGACAGTTTAGGGACATGAAGAACATCTTTAAGGACAAGATTCGGTGTGATAGAAATATCTCCAACCCCTGCAACAGTCGCAAGAGAACCATTTGCCACAATAATCTTCCTATTGCTAGGACAAGGTGTGTAGGTGCTGAAATGGGATGAGGTGTGAGTCATATGATCGGTAGCCCCCGAATCAACAATCCAAGAATTACCTGAGAGTGCTAGAGAACATGCACCAGAGGGTTTATTAAGAGACCCTAACAAACCTCTTATTTTCTCAATTTCTTCACTATTGAAGGCTGTTTTCTCCTGAACTTCTTCGTGACTAACTTGCTCAGTTAGGTGGACCCGGGGCCTTGACTGTGTTGCCCGATTCACCCATTCTCGGCCTGAAGTAGTTGGTTTGTCATTCAGTTTCCAGCATTGCTCCTTTGTATGTCTCGGTTTCTTGCAATAGGCACACCACAAGTTGTCCCGGTTGTCTTTCCTTGGCAAGTCACCCTTTTCATCAACCTTTTTGATTGTCAAGGCTGACCCTTCTACTGTTTGTGGTTCGAGCATGACGGATCGACGACTTTCTTCTGCCCGGATCAAGGAAATTGTTTCCTCCAATGATGGCACTTCCTCCTTGCCAAGTATTTGAATTCTGACTTGGTCGAATTCAGAATTAAGCCCGGCTAAGAAATCATAGACTCGATCCTTTTCAATAAGATTCTTCAGAATGGCCGCATCTTCTGGACACCGCATCTGGAGTACTCGATAATGATCGAGTTCTTGCCATAAGTTCTGCAGAGAATTAGCATACTCAGTAACAGTCTTATCTCCTTGCTTTGTCCCACTGGTTTTCACCTTAATTTCATACACTTGGGCTGCATCACGAGCCTTTGAGTACGTCCGTTGGATAGAATCCCAGATCTCTTTTGCTGTTGATAGAAACATACAAGTATCGCTTATGGCTGGTTCCATGGAATTCCATAGCCATGACATAATCATGGAATCAGCTTCATCCCACGCATCGAAATTAGGATCTCCTAGTTTGGGTCCTGTCCCAAGCAGATGGCTGAGTTTTCCTTTGCCCTTCAGATACGTCTTGACAAATTGTGACCACTTGAGATAGTTCTTCTCATTCAAAATGAGGGCTGGTCTGATATTCTGAAGATCACCTGTCATGTGTGTTGAGGTGACCTCCTCCAATGGTTTTTTGGTAGAAGGGGTCGGATCTGTGGTTTTCGGTGTGATTTCGGAATTGGACATTTTTGGAGAGTAAAGGTCAGGAAGAAAACAAGAGTAGTAGTGCAGCTATGAAGGCTGCATTCGAAGGAAAAATTTTCTAGAGAATAAAATACAGCAATGAAGGCTGTAATTTGGAATTCAGAAATCTAGCCTAGAGCTCTGATACCATGTGGAATTTTAGATGGAGAGAAATCCTTTTTCTCATTCATATTTACTACCTCTTTACATTGTCATATTTATAGACTAATACACAGAGGAGCCCTAGCAAACAAAATAGGAAACAAAGCCTAAATAGGAGAACAGCTACAATCCCACGATTTGTGGGATTTAACCAGAATAAAAAACTCCTAAATAGGAAAAATCTACTCCTATCAATCAGTCAATTATCCTACATATTTACAACCATATAATCTGGATATTTACAGCTCAACAATATGTCATTTCCATTCTCCCAAAGCCAAAGATAGCGTTCATCCTAAATTTTGCTCAGTTTTGTTCACGCCTTATTTGGTCCGTCAGTGGAATATTTCACGAGCTCAAAAAATTTACCTACCTACGAAGAGTTCCCTCGAAAATGAAAAGAAGTTATCTGCAAAGGATTCTGCTAGTTTTGGCTTAATTCGATACCAAAGGAACGACAGTTAAATAAGAAAATTTCACACGATTAGACTGTTATATGGACAAACTTGCAAAAGGTTAATTCGATGTCCATCATCCAAATGCATCACAGTTGCTAGACAAATATCACCTTTAAGTTTTTAGTCTCCAATGGAAACCAAGACATTTTTCCCCTGTAAAAACTGAATACGTCGTTCAATGACAACAATGTCTTCAGTTAACTACCAGATATTACCATTTATGAAGAATTTGCAATTCTTCTTCTCCTACTCGTTGAGAATAACATGAACTACCAGAGAGCAAAGTAGTCAATCGCCATCAAAGATATTTCACTTATATACAGGAACAAAAGGTCTTTATCACGGTTATCAAAAAAAAAAAAAAAGGTCTTTATCACCAGTTAAATGTCCAAACTTGAAGTAGATAAAACTCTCTCTAAATGGAATGGAAGAAAAGAAAATCATTACGACTACCACATTAACAAACTTTGTTTCCCCATGATTCAGCCTCAGAATCACGCAGCATTTTCGTCCGGAATAAAGAAATCAAACCTGACATCCACTGAACCAGACCTCTCCCCGGTGTCTTTGTACTCGATATTCGTTATTGCTCCAATTTCGTCCTCGTCTAGATACTCTGGCTTCACCCTTCTCACAGGTACCGTGACAGAATATACAGTTCCAAGGTCCGCATCAGTAGATACGGTTAGCTGGACTTTATCCTGCGACTCAATTTCCACGAAGTCTGATAAAGCGTGAACAATGTTGGTGACAATTTTCTGCTTTGCTTCATCGCTAACCGCACATCTATCAGAGAAGAGAATCATCTTGAGTCGCTGCTTGGCAATCCTTGCATTGGAGCTCTTTCTAGTCATCCGAGAAGGAAATATTATCTTCCAAGCTAAGTTTAAACGGTCAAAGAAGCTCATGTTAATGGCATTCAGAAGAAAACTCTCAGCTTCTTGGCTAAAAGAACTTGAAGGTGACAGCTGATAATCTCCTGTAAAACCAGAAAGCCGTTTTGCTGAACCACGTGTGTTGCTACTCTCTAGCACTATGCAGGGCCACTTTGGTGAGTTCTCACGAATGTCAGATCCTCCATTCAAGGAACCAGAAAAATTTACCTAAGAAGATAACAAAAGATTGAGTTTAACATTTCAGTTTTTTCGAGACAAATTGCAGAAGGTATTATGTTATCCATCAGAAAACAAAACTGGAGCCGTATCTTCAACTTCACCATAAATTCAATTAAGGCACATGGTAATATCATGTTATCCGGTATAAAAAATATTTCCACAATATAAAAATTAGACAGAAGATATAGTATTTCTTCTTTGAGGCTTCATTATAACATTGTGTAGTGAACTGGTTAAGCTTGGTTCTGTATGAAATAGGAGAATGCCATCCTCACGGAAAGATGGTCACTGTCAACAAATTTACGAAGCCCAATAAGAAAAGATACAACTATGTATCAGAAAACATCGATCAGCAATTGACAGAAATTTGAACTTAAACTAAAAGAGGAGGAGGTCCTCTGACTTTAAGTAGCTCAAATTGTAAAACTAGATAATGCAATTAATTTTTCAAGATTCTGTATTCATATTACCCACAAAGTCTGAAGCATACCATTAACAACTTAAATAAAGGGATACAATAGATTAGCTCTTGTCCACAGCCCGGGACTTATTACCATTACCAATCGGGGCAAACGAATAGCACTGCATACTAGTAAACGACTTGTTTATTCCCTTCTTTACACAATCAATTGACAGAAAGACAGACACGTTTTGGTGCCATTGACACCACTTCCAAACCATCCTGCCCCCACCGCCAATAGCCACACAAGGAGTACAATTACGATAAATGTTTTCCTCAGTGAATTAACATGCACAGATCGTGTTTGCACTACCAGTCAACCTAGATAACTAACAGAGAGAGGGTGACTAGGAGAGGTTGCTAGCTTGCACAAGCTGACCTTGACATGTAATCTTCTTCTACTGAAGCCTTCGAGACGTGTCAATCAAGGCCCAGAAAAGAGTACACTTAGGAAGGATCCAAAAAGTGAGACATGCAACTAGGAAATCAAAGACTACTCAATGCATTAAAAAGGATAAGTGCAAAAGAACACCCACTCGACAAATGTGGTCAATTGGCATCCAGAAACAAGGGCAAAACCAAGGTTCACACGAAAGAGTGGCACAGGGAGTCAGGAAGGATAATATAACCAAGTTAAGTCCCCAAATTCTACTAACAAAAAAAACGTACTTAGAGCACATGAGAGTCTATTCTTGAAGACAGTTTGGCGGCGAGAGTATGCAATCTGATTAACAGAGGAATAAGATGACCCTACAGCCCACAAAAACCTCTTGTAATTAAGCTACCCAGCTCTAATCAGGTAAAAACACATAGTGGTTTTTAACAAATTGGAACCATGAAATGAAAAACAGGCGAGTGCCCGCAATTCCCCATGCAAACCTAAACTGCTACGACCCCAATTCACAATCCTAAAAGCCTGGATCTCCGAATCAACACGAGACAAGGATACAATCACGACATCTAAAAGTTCATACTTTACGGAGATATCGACAACTACCAACCATACAGTTTGGACATCAAACTACATGCTCCATTTGAAAACTGCGCTTACACAATGAGAAGGAAAAAAAAAGACCGAATAAATCAAATTGCAGCATTGCGCACAGCTACAGCCAAAACCCTCAAAATGGCTGGCGGATTCTCAGTACCCCAATTCGCCAATCGCATCATCGCTCACGTAATCAATTCTAGCGTCCGCTAAACACATCGCAGCGCTGCTGCCAACTCAAATTCATCGCAGAGACGGAACTCGCGACGAGAAATGCAAGAAATTTTCAGCTCGACGTTCGGCGGAAGAGAGCTGAAACGGGGCTCTAGAGAAAAGCAAAGACAGTACCTTTGAGGTCGAGAAGGGCAGAGAGGTCCGAACCGGGTGGTTATGGTAAGAGCCGAGAGTAGCAGAGACCTTCAGATCACCAGCAATCGCCATTTTCTCGGCTCGCTTCTTCTTCTTTCTTCTTCTTCTTCGATTTTTGCTTCACTGGTTCAGTCCCTAGCTCTTCGGGGGGACGTAACAACGAGCTCGCTTGAAACGTCAACGGCCCGGCATGACGTGAATGTTGGGTGACGTGGTACTTATTCAGGCCCAATCCAAGCCCCTGGAGCTGACTGACCCGGCCCCTCACAACGTAGTTTTGCAGGAAAAAATACCAAAAAAGTCATAGACCTATTATATTGATACCGATTTAGTTCTAAACTTTTCAATTTGATCAATTTAGTCATAAAAATTCAATTCATCGGGCTAATTTAGGTTAGAAATTACTGACGTGGACGACGGCCGTTCTCTATCACGTGGCCGGTGCTAATATGTACATTTTTTTAATATTTTTTTTTGTTTTTTTTCCTCCCCCTTTTCTTTTTGCTAGTGTCGACGAAGACTGGCTTCGCCTAGGTGAGGTCATCCTAGCCGCCCACACCCTCGCTTGGCCGCACCCTGGCCATAGCGGCCTCATCGGGCCTCGCCCATGCCACAGCAAGGCTCGCTGTCGCCCAAGCGAGGCTCGCCCTCCCCTAGGCAAGGCCGCCCTGGCCTGGGCGAGGGTCGGCCTTGCCAAATATGGCAAGGGGGACCTCACCGGAGCTTGCCTTCGCCCAAGCATGGCCTGTGAGGCCAACCCTCACCTTTGCCTAGCAAGGGTGCCATGGCCTGTGGCCACTGACTGGTCATCAGCACCAACAAAAAGAAAAGGGAAATGGAAAAAAATTTAGAAACTTATTAAAAAATTGGGTTAATACCACGAAAAACTCTAAACTTGTATATTTGTGACACATTTATCCCAAAATATTTTTTTGACCATAAAAAACCCCAAACTGATACACCTGTGACAATTTTACCCCGAACTATTTTTTTTACCATTAAAAACCCCAAACTGGTACATCTGTGACAATTTTACCCTGAACTTACCACAAAAAATCTCAAACTGGTACATATGTGACAATTTTACCATGAATTAAAATTTTAATATTATTTTTTATTTTTTTCGACTTTTTATTTATTTTCCTTTTATTTTTTTTTCTTTATCTTCAACCTTTGGCCGGTCGCCGGTCCGGCGACCGGCCAGAGGCGGAAGCCGGCGAGGGCCGCCCTCGCCCAGGGCAAGGGCGATCCTCGCCCGACTCAGGCGAGGGCTGCCCTCGCCGGTATCGGACGAGGGCTGCCCTCGCCGGATTTGGCGAGGGCGACCCTCGCCTGCGTCGGGCGAGGGTTGCCCTCGTCGGCGTCGGGCGAGGGCTGTCCTCGCCCGGCCAGGCAAGGGCGACCCTCGCTCGACTCAGGCGAGGGCGACCCTCACCTGCGTCGGGCGAGGGCTGCCCTCGCTTGCTTCGGGCGAGGCAGCCCTCGCCTGGGCGGGTGAGGACAGCCCTCGCCTGAGTCGGGCGAGGGCGACTCTCGCCGGCATCGCCCTTGCCGAGTCGAGCGAGGGCGGCCCTCGCCGGCTTCCGCCTCTGGCCGGTCGCTGGACCGGCGACCGGCCAGAGGTTGAAGTGAAGAAAAAAAAAAGAAAAGAAAAGAAAAAATTCAAAAAAATAAAAAAAATAATATTAAAAATTAGTTGGGGTAAAATTGTCACATGTGTACCAGTTTGGGGTTTTTTGTGGTATGTTCGGGGTAAAATTGTCACAGGTGTACCAGTTTGGGGTTTTTTATGGTCAAAAAAATAGTTTGGGGTAAATGTGTCACAAGTGTACCAGTTTAGGGTTTTTCGTGGTATTAACCCTAAAAAATTTCATGTCAACGTCATTCGTGCCACGTAGAATAGCTGACATCCACATTAGTGATTTTCGGTCAAAATTGGCTGGATGAACTGAATTTATAAGTTTAGGACTGAATTGGTACAAATGCAATATGTTTAGGATTTTTTTGGTACTTTCTAGTTTCACCTCATCTATCACTATGACCGGGGTCCCAACCCTCGGTCTCGATGGACTCGGGCACGAGCACAAAGTTTCTAGACCTTGTCCTATGGGTTCGGGCTTGGACGCAAGGGATCCAGGCACGGGAACTCGAGCCTGAGTGCCAAGGACCCGAGCACAACCTTTGTTGACCTTAGCCCAAGTCCTGGGGTTCCAAGCACAAGTACCAGGATCGGCCATTGCGACCCAATTGGTTGGACCGTAGGTGCGATGATTTACCCGAGCCCACGCTGGGACATCGAGCACAAGCACGGGGGGCTTAGGTTTGGCCTTGCGGGACCTGGGTCGGGGCGCCGAGGACTTGCGAGCAAGTGTTAGGGTTCCTATGTCCGAGTGAAGAGTTCAAGTGTAAGCACTAATATTTAGCTATATTTTGAAAAATGATTTATAGATTTTTATAGAGAAAATCATTTTACTGAATTCAAGCATAGATTTTCTGTTGACTCTTTTTTCAATGCGATTTAAACGCTGGAAACTGAGAAAAATATTTTTCTCAAAAATATTTTATGTGAAACAAACGAAACATACGTAAAGCCCTTTTTGCCCATTCCACAGCTCTATTTATAAATTGCGAGATTCTTTTTATCTTTATGGCAAATCAAGCAGTTCATATTGAGTTTTCACTCTCACATGTAATTAGCTTCCCCCTGCGACATAGGATTATCACATTAATATAAAATTTAGAGAAAATTCCAAAAAAGAGCATGAAGTACCCTTATTTGAAAATTACCACATTAATATAAAATTGAGAGAAAAATCCAAATAAGAAATGCCATCATTTTTTTAAATAAGGGTACGAAGTAGACTTTGTATCAAATAAAGGCATGAAGTGGTCATGTCAGTCTCAAATAAGAGCCCAAAGTGGCCATGACTGTTTCAAATAAGGGCTCAACCTTGCCGGTCGTAGGGCCAACCATATATTTCGGCCGATTAAGAGCATTTTCATCCAAAAAAGGCAAAGGACAAAAATGTCCTTGACCATCTAGAAAGTCAAGCTCTTCTTTGAAACTAATATATCCACTTTAGGTCTTTATTTGAAACAAAGTCCATTTCAGGCCCTTATTTAGAATTTTCCCTAAAATTGGTAAAATCCCTTTTCTGGTTCAAAAAAAAAGGATAATAACACAAACAGTCCATGAACTTTGGCTCAATACGCAATGTAATCCATGAACTTTTAATTTGTTCAATGTAGTCCCTAAGCTTTAGCTTAATGTTTAATGTGGTCTTTGAACTTTTAATTTGTTTAATGTGATCCTCGAACATTTGGTTTATGTTCAATGTAGTCATTAAACTATAAGAAAATATTCAATACAGTCCTCCAACTTGAATGTAGTCATTGAACTTGAATTGATGGAAGGACTACATTGAATATTTTCATATAGTTCAGGGTTTAAATTGTACATGTACCAAAAGTTCAGGGACGACATTGAACAAATTAAAAGTTCAGGAACCACATTGTATATTGAGTTAAAATTTATGGACTATATTAAATAAATTAAAATTTCATGATCATATCGCACGTTGATCCAAAGTTCAATAGCTGATTGTCTCATTTTCCAAAAACCAAAAAAAAAAAACAGAGAGAGAACTTTTCTTCGTTATTCGGGTGTCGACGTCGCTCGATCAGGTGGGAAATGGTCGGGTAAGCCAAACATAAAACAGCAGAAGCAGAGAGCCGAACAAGAACCAACCTCGGCACGTAGAAGGAGGAGGAAGGCATCATTTCTTCTGTCGGGTTCGCTTCCGAATCCGTGAATGGGGGGGAGATGGAGAGCCGCCTCTCATCTCCTCGCCCGCGTCGCTAGTTCAACCCTTCAGCCCCGCTTCTTCTCGGTCGTCTCCTCTCGTCCTCTTCCACCCCCTCCAACTCCACCACGCCTCTCGATCTTCGCTGACTCAATCTTGGCCAGGCCGCTCTCCGCGGTTGCGGCTAGGGCCGCCTACTTCGACGGCGACGAACTGGGTCCTCGACTTCAGGACCCGGGTCGCCCCTGCTTGCCGCCGCCGCCGATCAAGGAGGCGGATGAATCGGAGAACATCCCCATCAAGTCCTACTTCCTTTCCACCAGGTCTGTTCAAGCTCGACCCTGTTCTTCTTCTTTTCTTTTCTTTTTTATGAGGGTTGATTCGTGGGTAGATTGTTTTTGGGTTTGTTATTTCCATCGATGAGGCAACTGTGTTTAGTTCGGTGCTTGCTCTTTTGTGTGGTTGCTGGTGGTTTTCTCAGATTCATGGTTTTGGCAGTATCGATTTGAAGAGCCTGCAGGCAGAGAACTTAGGCAATGTCCTCCCTCCCACCTCTCGCTCCTCCAATTACGTAGCCCTCAAATATTCTGCTCTCCCTTCAGACATTAGAGTAAGATGGCTCATTTACCTTTTTGGCTGGACTTTATATGGTATCTGGAGTTTTGTGACATGTTATTGATGGTGATCATGGCCAACTTGAAATAAAGGCAGTCCGTATATTATTGCTGGGTAGTCGGTGTCACACTGCAGCTCTACGAGTATAGGAGAAATGACCTGTTAACAGAATAAATATTCATCTTTATATCTCATCAAAATTCAAACTCCCAATTCTGTGAGAAGGGCAGTGGGCAGAAATGAGCTTCTTTACCCCTCATTTTGTTCGAGTTTGCCTGAGAATTGGTTCCTGGTCCTGGTCAGAGACCACTGTGTTCGAGCCAATTGTACGTCCCCGGAGAGCAGCTTTGGCTAAAACTCGAGCAGTTTCTTGAAAACTCTGCCTCTAACTAAAGAACCTGAAAAAGAATGAGATGAATTTTATGAGTTGATATTGTTGTATGTTATGTCTGAAATAGTCTTTGTTGGGTTTGGTTTGTTAGCTTGGAGATGTCTTTGGTGGACTTTAGAATTCTGATCCTATTACCAGCTTGCTGTTTCAACAAATATATAGATAGATATATATGTTGATAACAGGTTAATGTTGGTAATGTGTTTGAGTCTGCGTTCTTTTAATAGGAGGACAGCCATGTCATTTACCCTATACTTGTAGAGCTGGGGTGTGACAGTCAGCGTCTCACCTTGTGATTATAATTCTCAAGCAAGTCACTTTGCTCTGTCGTAATGTCATGGGATTGCTTAATTGGACTCTTCTGACTTAAGTACATGTGTTTAAGCTGGCAAACCATTTACTAGGGCTTAGCCAGGACTTTGCACGTTGCCTTAGTTTTAGTTTTGTTGAAGTATTATCCCACATCGATTGACAACGGGTCCTAAATGCTCTTTATATTTATGTGGTCTCCTCCACCTATTAGCTTAAGCTTTTGGGTTGGATTTTTTAACATGGTATGAGAGTTAGTGTTATCCCTTTTCCGAATGTGCATGGTCAAAATTCCATGTGAATGTGCGTTGTCAAAATTTCACGTATCGCTCATAATATGGCGTGCACGTAAGTGGGGGTGTTGAAGTATTATCCACATCGATTGACAACGGGTCCTAAATGCTCTTTATATTTATATGGTCTCCTCCACCTATCAGCTTAAGCTTTTGGGTTGGACTTTCTAACAAATTTATTAACCGGTTTCTTTTCTAAAGTAGAGAACTTGATTTCACTTCTGCAAGCTCATAATGATGACAGGGCTTACTGATGTCTTCTAATTCGTGGATGGATGAGTGATTTCTGTTGCTCAGGACACTGCAACATTATGGGATTTTATTGCATTACATATCATAAATCGATATAAATGTTTAATTTTTTTAATTTTTCTTCTCAGTTCAAGATTGTGCTCATCTTTTCTGCGATGCTGATAATAACAAGATGACATTTTTAGGGTCATGGATCCAAAGAGAGAGCAAGTCACTGCCGCTACATGGTTGTATCTCAGTATGGATCTGTCATTCTGTTCAACATTGAGGATCAGGAAATTGAAACTTATCTGAAAATAGTGAGAAGGCATGCCAGTGGATTGCTTCCACAGACATGGAAAGATGGTAAGTCTTCTTGTTGATAAATCATTTCTATTTCTGGATTCTTTGACCTGGTGAAATGAAATCTTTCTACTCATGCTCTGTGATGTATTTTCTCTCAGCATGTGCATAACTATGTGCTTGCAAAAGCTACTTAAACTTCTAGAATTTCTTTATTGGATAATTCAGTTCCAGTGGTTAATTCTGTTTCCAACTTTTTATGGCCACTTGAAATTTGCGTGTAAATGAGAAATGAGAACAAGTGTCCTCTCAGACTGAATTATCTGCTGACATAGAATAATATTTTGTAACCCTGACATCAAGTTTCCTAGGGCCTCACAGTCCCTCTAAAGATAGAAGAGATGTTGTATGGTTACATGGTCAAATGTCTTCAAATTGCCCATTTCCTTCATGCGTGTAATGTTGTTAGGCAGGTTTTTTTTACCGCCATTTATCATGATCTAGGGGTAGATGCTAGAACTATGCTCATACATGCGATTGATCTTCCTTTGAATTGTCACATTTTATTTCCAGATTATGCTGTGAAGGAGCAGCCGCTGTTAGATGGGGACATGGAGGGGGGCCCCGATTATATTGTTCTCAAAGCCTTGGATACTGATGGTATCCGAATTATTGGAAGTGTTCTTGGTCAAAGTATTGCTTTGGATTATTTTGTTTCACAGGTAAGTCTTAGGACTCATCCTAGGAGCATTGTTTTGTTCGTTTGCCAAAGGCACTTGCTGGCTTCTTTAGCTGCTGCATGGCTCTTGCATATCTTCTACATGCAAATGTTACAGGATTATGGCATATAAATTTTGTAGATGCATAGCAGTTTCTCACCTGCATCTAATAGAACAGTGATGACCAAGTCCTTTTCTACCTGTGGGATCACTTGTTGCCCACTCCTATTATGGTTGGTTCTTCTCAGTAAACTTCATTAAGGCAGTTAAGGCTAACACATATGTCTCTGGCTCAGATTGATGGCATGGTCGAGGAGTTTGCTTATATCAATCGGAAGATGCAGACCACAGGAACCTTTACAATGGATAGGAAGAAGCTCCTTCAACTTGTTGGGAAGGCTAATTCAAATCTAGCTGATGTAATTATCAAAGTTGGTCTTTTTGAGAGGTAAAAATATATTAGCGAATTGTGTGTCAGATGCCATCAAGATGCTTGGATGTTCTCTCTGTTAAGTATGCAAGAATAACTAGGTGATATGGGCAAACTATATTATTTAGTATTCTATAAAACAAGCTTGTCCAGGAGAATAGCTTTGCAAGTCACTCTTCTTTGCGGTTGTCTTCCCGAGTTTCTGTGGTCTGTGTGCCTGTACAGGTTAGGAAATTTAAGATCTCTATATCCTGCAATTAAGTTGGTCATTGAGGACATCCCTTTGCCTTGATTTTTTAACCCTTCAGAACTATAGGTTTGGCTAACAATCTTCATTTTATTGTCATATGCAGATCAGAAATTGCTTGGAGGGAAGCAAAATATGCTCAGATATATGAGTACCTGAGGGAGGAGTATGAGGTCACACAACGCTTTGGTAATTTGAATTTCAAGCTAAAGTTTGTGGAGGTATTATCTCTTCCTCCATGCTTTTTAGCCTTTCTTATTTAAGGATTCTCATTGTACAGCCCATATGAAATCTCGCCTAACTTCAAGGACTTAGGAAATTGCTTTGGAAAGAGCTTACATTCATTGTGCTTGCAGTTACTTGGAGCAGAAGAAGAAACTAGTTATAGATTGGGTTTTTCCATACATACTTCTAGTAATTTCTTTGTGAAACTTAATCTGAATTTGGTGATGAATTTCCTTATTGCAGCACAACATTCATTTTCTTCAAGAAGTCATACAGAACAACAGGTCTAATTTGTTGGAGTGGTGCATCATTTTCCTATTAAGCATCGAGAATGTCATATCGCTCTATGAGATTCTTAAAGACTCAACTCAAGCCCCTCTATGATCGGACAAGCAGTTGGGAGAATCTGGACGAATGTTGTCAAACATCAATGATTAAGATAAACTGCACAAGCAATCATTCTTTATTCATTGGATAGTAGTCCAGCAACAAATAGAGAATATGTAGAGACTGCCATGTACTTCATTTTTCTAGGTCATGGCCTAGTCTGTCTTCGCAAATAAAGAAGATGAAATTTTGACATCTTGCTTCTTAGCTGTTATTTTCTTTGTTATGCCTCGGCAGGTCTGTTAACGCAATTGCTCTTAGTCAATTGCCCTTGACGTTATGCTGCTAGTTTGAAAATTCTCTCATGGAAAGGCAACAGCCGTAGGTGGACCACATGTTATCACTGGGGGGAAAATAAATTTCTTGTAGCAACACGGGGTCCAGTTCAGATGGCTGAACTAGTTACACGATTCAATAAGTTGGGACGCTCCTTTGAGGAACTCCATGTTGATTGTTGAGCAATTAATCACTCTTACATGGATCAAAGATTCAGCAATATTGATGGTTCGCACCGTTTGCGTCAGCCAATAGAACTGGAACTTGAAAAAAAAAGAACTCTCTTCTCACCAAGCTCGTACCCTTTTCTTGTTCCTGTCTTCACCGAAGGGAGAAGACCTAGTCTCGTTTCACACATCTAGCTGAAATCAAGCAAAAAGTTGACTAATGTATGCATCCAAGTTTATTAAGTTGGTTGATGGATTGCAAAATTTTGTCCGACAAATCAACCCCATGATATCGGACGTTCCCCCGCTCCATTCTTCATTTGCCACGCCTACCCAGCAAACCGAATGGCTGTTCCAAGCCAGTCATCAGGTATGTTTCCTTTCAAGTCCCCGCTCAATGCCCTAACCGAGTGGGTTGTTGCCGCCTGAATTCATGAAGAAGTAAATCTGAAATTGTCGATCTCTTGAAAGTCTGGTAAGTTAAAACAGCAAACTCAAAAAAGTAACCTTCACAATGTAAACGTCAATGCCAAGCTTTGCAATACTTGCAGCTTCAGAAATCTTGGTTTGCATTCCCCCAGTTGTATCATGAGTAGCTACTGTCATTTCAACTGTTCACAACAATTGATACAAAGTGAATTATATGTCGAAGGGTTAGTTATGACATGGACCGAACCAAGATCAACTCATGTAGACCCAAACAAAGAGATAATGACAGGCTTCATTCAAATATGCAAAGCGGGACATGAAGTTTCATGCTGTCAGAATGAAATCAGGCATTAAAGGAGCATGAACATGTGTTTATGCCCTGATTGTCTCTTCAACTAACCTTGGCTGTCTTCAAGAGGTGGTTTCACAACAGACCAATTCCCATCTTCTCTCACAGCTGTTGCATTCAAAAGATTCGGTTATGGGTTGCGGTTCCAGAAGTTTGATCCAATAATTGATCCAATAAATAATGTCCACTGTTGGTCTGCGACTCAAAAGTGAATGCTCACCAATCTCCTTTAGGAGCACGGCATCAGGTTCTGTGGGAGGACGGTCATATACCCCAAATACATCTGTCTTGACATTAATAGGATAACATTTCTTAAGATTTCCAGCTTACAATGAGAAATTAGGGGCTCAATATTCATCTCAATGCCTGGTAGCAACAGCCGATCAGTTGATGTTTGAATTTAGAAGCTTGCGCAGCGGCTAAATATTCAGGCATTTAAATGATGCAAATAGTGCTACATTCGCAGACATGATTAACCTTAAGTTATAAAGTTAACTCCGTGCATGTTTGGAGCAACCAACAAGAATGCCAAATATTTTTAAAATGACAAAAGACTATGCAAGGAGAAATGCAAGTCATATCAAATTCGCATGGTGGATACAAGGAAAACCACATAATCGGGCTTCAAATGCTCTGCTAGATGACGTATGATAACATCTCCACTCAATATAGTGCAGCCCTGATAAAATAGAGAACATGGTACCACATTATTAGTCATAGTTGGAAAGGTGTACAAGATTACAACTTAAAGATGAGATAAACAACCTGTAACTCATCAAGCACTGCATCTCCATGAAGGACCTGGAAGGCATGCCGACCAAACAAGTTTTTAGCTCATTGATATCTAAGCAATTCCGTATAATATGTCTGCCATAGCCAGGCAGAACAAAGTAGTGCTTGACAGCAAAATGATGTTGACAATACTAATGTAGTCGTTACATCCCAGTCAAGCACAAACCATAAATGCAACATAGATGCACCCTTACCATCTTCTCTACTTTGATGATTGCCTAAATCAAGATAATGCAACCAAGTCACGCTAAACATGTTTTCATGACGAAAAGGTCTTCTGATTTGAATTTTTTTTTTAACAGTGCATTGTTGAAGGTAATGTTAAATTATCAGAACTATAGACTTTTCTTTATAATTTTAGATTTGATTTTTTTAATTATGAAACAACTCGAGTGTTTCAAACAATACAACCATTAACATTTAATGTTGCTCTAAGTCATGAAACATTTTCATAATATTTTCAAATAAAAAACATATAGTTGTTCATTTTGGTGGAAAAGTCATGAACCAAAGCCAAATCTCCACTAAACAGACCCTTTTCCTTTCCAATAAGTGAGAATAATGGAAGTTACTATCATGGATTGTTTAAACAAAAGGAAAGTTCGTTCTTATTTGTTAATAAATCTGTTCATTTCGAGTGATTCTGACATCTGAAACGACTTTCTTGCATGAAGCGGATGATAATGAAACTAAAGAAATCATGTCTTTGCCGCATCATGATGTAATATGTTGCTCTTCACAAGAAAAATCACAAAGAAGAATTCCCCACAACAATCTGTCGCTCTGGAGGACAAGAATTTGTGAACTTACAGGGATGAAACCTAAATCAAGAGCCTTAGCTACTGTGGACAAATCGGCTGAGGCAATCTGAAAATATTAACAGCTGAGGATCAGAAAGGAACTAAGAATCCCTCATAAGAAATAAATAAAACCCAGAGAAAAGTTTGCTCATATGCTGAATATGTTTCATGAAGCAGTCAAGTGATCTCTCTATATGTCGGCACAAAAAATATAGTCTCTTAAGGCGCCTCTGACATTCTTTTCACGAGTCGACCATCCACATGAAAAGGGAGATATTCCAATAGAAGGGAGGCCCTCTGCAGCAAATAAAACTCCCAGTCAGCATTATCTTTATCTTTTCTTATTCTAGAGATCAAGTCCAGAAACTGAGCTTCTCGTCACTACCAAAATAACTTTAATCTGTTAATTGATTAAGACAAGAGTCACAATCGTATAATAGCGGAAAGCAGACAGTAGAGAAACTTGGAAGCAAAGTGTGGCATGTGCTTGACGGTTGGCAGAATACATGGTGGTCAGGGTAAAAGTAAAAATGAATTTCATTAACAAATGAGCCTCATTAATTGAACATCCCAAAACAACTCAATGAACAAGTATTTTGTTCAGCTAAACAGAATATCAGCCTCTGAAGTTTATGCTTGGTGAACATAGAAATTCAGGAATGGCTGCATAAATTTAGTGGGCTCCTTGCTAAATTTAGCACCCATTTTGGGCACTGTAACCTTTACCGAACACATTAACTGACAGGTATCTTCTTGGAAGTCAGTTTTCAAGACATGAGTTTAGCTCCAATTGGAAGAAGAGAAGCAACACGCACAGACAAGAGAACAACCTTGCAGTAAAAGTTGGACACTAAATGTGAATCACTACCTCTTGCTAATGCTCTAACAACTTCAAGATTGAGTGTGCTCACCTGTATGTTTGAAAAAAAGAGTAGTTATAAACAGAAAATACAAGGAAAAAGGAAATTAAGTATATAATTTCCACTCAAGACTTCATGGAGCAAAGACAGAATCTTGCATCTCCAACATGAACAGCACATTTGATGCCTGCCGGAACATCAGGACCATCTTGAGCACTCAACAAATAATGAATAACAACTTGTAACTCATGATATTAGACAAGTCATGTAATGGTGGCATTTGTATGATAGAAGCAAACAATAAAGCTGTCATCCAGTGTCATCCAGCATCAGTGTTTAGTTGGTGACAATGATGTAATGCTCCTCAAAAGTTCATAAAGCTTTTAGTATTGGATGACTGGAACAGCTTTGATTAGCATGTTAGTCCAACCACCGACACTCGCATCAGTCAAACTTTCCGACCATTTTGAAAGACATGTGATAATGAAAAAAGATAGGGTGATCCTTTTCCTGTTGCTAGCACACTATTATGTCAAGGTGAAAGACTGCGTTAGGAAGCATCATTTAGTTCCCCTGGTCAACAAGAAAGTGAAGTCTCCAAATAGGGAGCGATGTCAAATAGGAAATCATAAGAATGTAAACAGGATGGCTAACAAAGGAGGTTCATCGATCTTTAGAATATGTAAGTTGACCTTCTAACTGAGCCAAGTATGGTAAGCAAAGTCACTTCTAATTGTCCACCAATTCTCGTATGATCTTCTTGAGAACTGAGCCATCATTTCTATCGCAAGATGACTTCTAACTACTCAGATAAGCACCCCGAGATTTGAACAAATGACCCAAAAAAGATCGCATCCCGGAAGGGCGAAAAAGCCCAGTTACAGAGGACGTTTTGCTTCTTTTTTTTCTTTTCTTATTCTGTTTGTTTAGGATGCCCAAGTAGAAGAAGCAATTTCTTGAGGTCATACTTCCACATGAATTACTTATATCCACGATCATCCACATGTGTATTAAAGTTGCCCAGCCATTTTCAGAAATTAAAAGCACCTGCAATAATTATAGCAGCTAGACATGCGGAGACACTGTCAATGGATGGATACACCAAAGGAAGAGAGAGAAATGAAGCAATTAAAGAAATCAAAGACTGAATCTCACTGAAATACGCGTAGCAACAAAACCAGCCTTCACAATAGGTCGTTTCAAGCCTCCTTTATGAACCCCGGATTGGCTAGCTTGAAAATGCCCGAAAGAACCTGAATTCCACGTTGACAATTCAATTGCACGCTAAAACCACAGTATCCATAAAAATAATATAAATGAACTTGATCCTTAAGGAGGATTTAGTTTGCTCCTCCCCATATGTCGGAAACTAAAGATCACAAATTTAGCTGCGCTTGCTCTTCCTGATGGAAAAGATTGTAATACTGTGCAATATCTCAAGCCTTATAGAGTACAAGCAACAACTAGCCTGCTTTAAAAATCCTTCCAGACCCAAAATTTAGCAATCCATAACTGACCTGCTCCATGGACAACAATGAAACTGCTCGACTCCAACAACTCTTGGTCTTTAAACTCATCCACGTCGAGGGATGTCTCCAACTTTCCATTTCTCTTGCTCCAATCCATCCCTGGGACCTTCGACGAAGAAGAGCCCGAGATCATCACTCGCCTAAGCTGTGTTGCCACCATCTCAAGATTAGCCTCATTGATCTTCTCTAAATCATTTTTGCATGTGATAGCCGCTCCTCCTGCGCCGCGGACATGGCATATCATCATTTCTTAAAGCCAAATAAGAATCAAAACAAGACATCACGCATCACAACTTTAAATCGGTATCCCCCCATCCGCAGCACCCTTGCTTATCAAAAGAAATCATCCACTGCTCTCTCCAATATCAAGAAACCACCAACAGTAGTTCAAAGAAGCAAGAACATTGTTTTCTGCACTCGTTATTGGTCTACGCACGTATAGCTTCGCGAAGAACAGAGGTGAACCCAACGACTGGGCAACAAAGACAAGTGCAAATCTTGGCACAAGAGAACTGGTTGAGACGAACAGACGAACATGAGGTGAGCACGACCGGGAAGAACGGGGTCAGCTATTGCAAGAAGATGCACCCATTGGGTGTGTGAAGCGATTCATCGTATCGAAACAAAATGGACAGAAAGAAAAGAAAGAAAGCTGGGAGGAGACGAGACGAGAGAGAAGAGGAGAGACCAAGTTTGACGATGCATCGAAGTGGCTTGACGAGGTTGCGGTGCTCCGATCGCTGGTGGTCGTCCATCACTGCGCGCTTGGGTCTTCTTCGAGCTCTTTGCTTTGTTAAAGACGCTCCCTTTGCTCTTTGTTCGAGCTCTCTGCGTTGTTCCTTCAATGAAGACACTCTCTTTCCTGCAGAAAAGTTGCCAACTTTATTGGTTCTTTGCTGTTAAAAATGGAAAACGAACAAGCTGACCGAAAGTCAAATTCTTTATATAGATCCGAGTTCCATCCGTGACACAAGTGCGGCACAATCGACGGCTGTGGTTGTCTCAGATCCACACATCATGTAGAGGGGTAAACAAAATCATTAAATAAAGAAAAAAAAAACAGACACCAAAAACCCCAAATACCACGCTAACGGTGATACATTTACCTTGATTTTTTTTTAGTGACGCAAAAATTCTCAAATTTATACTCGTGTGATACATTTACCTTCCGTCAATGAGGATCGTTAAAAATCTGCTTACGTTAATGCTAGAAATCAAACATTGTTTCACGTGACTTAATTAAAATAAAAATGACGTTGCTTTGACTGAAAAATCATCCGACGGAATCTTGATAGAGGGTAAATATATCACATAGGTACAAGTTTTGGGTTTTTTATATCACAAGAAGTTTATGTTAAATGTGTCACAATTGGTATAATTTGGGGTTTTTGATGTTGCAAAAAAAATTCATGATAAATATGTCATAATGGACATAATTTGAAGTTTTTGTGACATTTTCCCTTAAATAAACCCCAAACTTGTGAGGAGATGCTACCCTCGTGTTCACTATTCTAAAGTTATGTATATGAAGCTAGAGAATTATTCTTTTAATGTGCACGTAATCTCTTTTCACCTATTAGCTTAAAATTTTTGTATGGTACTAGAACCAAGGTTTTGGTTCTTTTCGCAAATGTGCGTTTATCCCGTTAGTTAAATGTAATATCCCACGTCACTTTACTACAATAGGTTTATATACTCTTTATATACAAGCGACTCCCTTTGCTTATTGCTTTAGGCTTTTGAGTTATACTTTTTGACCTCGTATTGTACAATGAGACCCAAGTTAAGCGGGGGAAGTGACTTCCCTCATAAGCAACCATTATTGAGCTGGTCGAAGCTCTAGGGCTACCACTCCCCCGTCGGTGCCTTCGGATTTGTGGATCTTTGAAGTAGATCCCGAAACTAGCGCCATCTCGACGGAGGCCATGGAATTTAGTCGATCACCACAAGGTGATCGCTTCCTAAAGCGACGGTAATCAACAGCCCAACAATCCTTCATCGCATTCTCATGTTCGTTTTTCTCTTCAATTCAGGCTCGAACGCGTGATTTTTACAAGGTGATTACACGGACCATGATCGATACCGACACCCGAAATAGTAATTATAATGTCCTATTCAAAGAACGCAAAAATAATAATACATCGAATAGTCTTTTTAAGAGCAATTCCACGAAAGTTTTTATTTTTGGGGGTAACTCTCGTCAATGGAAAAAAAAACAAAAACAGAAGAAGAAGAGGAAAATCATGGAAAGATGTCGTCTCCAGTACCGGCGGCGGTGACGCCGTCATTTTATTACAATCCCATCGAGAACTTAGCTGTCCGAACCAAAGTGTCCCATTTTGTCAACGTGGTTCACCCGTTTCCTCGAAAAACAATATGCACTTATCGATTTATTTATATATTAACCAGAAAAAAGAAGACACAAAAAAACAAAAAACAAAAACTCGTGGTCTCTCCCTAGAGAGAGAGAGAGAGAGAGAGAGAGAGAGACTTACAGTTGCAGGTGAGATGGTGGCGTGGACTTTCTTGTACTGATTTTCTCGCAGTTCCAGATCCTGAAACACTCTCGCCCAAGGACGGAAAGACAGCGACCCATTATCGCAGGCGCAGAAAAGCTTCGGTTTTTTTGTCCTTTGGAAGACGAAGAAGAAGAAGAAGAAGATCGCCGGAGAAACGAGGAGAGAGAGAGAGAGAGAGAGGGAGCTTTTCTTGATTTTCTAGTTTTTTTTTGGCTCGCCCGAGCATGGCCGCCAACGAGAAACCGCCGCAGGCGTCGTCGTCAGCGGCGTCGTCGTCGGCGAAGCCTCCCGCGCGGCCCACCATCACTCTCCCCCCGCGCGCCTCCTTCGACTCCTTCTTCTCCAACGGCGGCGCGGGCGCGGGCGCAGGCGGCGGCTCCTCCGCCGGGGTGCTCGGACTCGGCCTGGGCTTCAGCCCCGGCCCGATGACCCTCGTCTCCAGCTTCTTCTCCGACTCCGACGAGTACAAGTCCTTCTCCCAGCTCCTCGCCGGCGCCATGGCCTCTCCCGCAGCTCACCGCCCGCCCTCCTCCGCGGGAGAGCCCGCTCCCGCCCCCGCCCCCGCCCCCGCCCCCGCGGTCGCGGGCGGCGACGGGGAGTTCCGGTTCAAGCAGAACCGGCCCGAGGGTTTGGTAATTTCGCCGCCACCTCCCCTGTCGCCGTTCTTCGCGGTGCCCCTGGGGCTGAGCCCCACCACGTTGCTCGACTCGCCGGGGTTTTTCTCGCCGGTAACTGCAACTAGCTCATATATACTGCTTTGAAAATGGTCGTTTCTAGTTTCAATTTGTCACTGTTATTGACTGACGAGCTTGTAGCGACTCTAAGAGAATATTGGATTTTGAGAGTAATAAGTTGTGTTGTTTGCTTCTGCTTAAATCAAGCTTTGTCGAGGAATCAAGTGTAGAGAGGACTTTCGTATTGTGCTGGACTTGGAATGACAAAATGGACTGAACAGAGTTAGGAAAAACTGTTACTGGAGTGGAGATTTGCTAAGAGAAATGATTGGTATTGAACGAAATGCTTCAGGATTGCTGTAAGACCTGTTACTTTTTATAAAAGGAGGAGGAATGTTGCTGCTGAACTTGAAATTATAGGCTTGAGGTGCCAAATTTTCTGGAGAAACTTCGGTTTGTTAGGTTGGGGCTACGCATGGAAGTGTCAGAATTTCTATCGTGAATTTTATCGGGTTCTGATTTTGCTTATATCAAAAGGAGTGACTCGGAAGTTGCTCCATACCGTTTGTTTGTTGATAATTGCTTTATGATTGCCAAGTTACCAACTTTAAGTATACTTTGGCAAATTCTCCTTTTTAGCTCCATGAGATGTTATCATAACGGCGAGAAAATGCTTTCTGATTATGATTAGTTCCAGAGCAATGTTTTCTGAAACGGTTTCTCTATCTATCCGTTAATGTTTTACCTTTTTAAAAACTATTTCTTTAACAGGAAATATGAGTGGGAAGAATCCTCCAAAGCATAAGCTGTACAATGTTCTCCATGAATGTATCTGTCAGGGCTAGCAATATTATTTACTGTGTAATAGTCTGTCTGTTTGTGCTGGGGAATAGTCACTTCCAACTCAAAACTCCATCGAATTCTAAACTTCACTTTCTTGATCATTAACCATATAAAACTCAAACCTGAAAATTCTTTAGTGAATGATGGCGGTGCTTCTATGACCAAAAGAATTCTCCTCTTTTCTTCTGTTTACCTCTCTTTGTGATGTTATATTTTTCTTTATGAAAACTCTTGAAAAGTATAGTTTCCCTTGGACAGACGATTCCAAAAAAACCTGAGCAAAGAGAGTCATTTGTCATGTAACTAACTATTACATTGTTATGACTTTTTCTCCTATTGGGAGATTTTATTATTGCTGATATTGTTATATGTATTTGTGTTAATTTCCTCTGTCCTTGTCTCCGGCGATAAAACTCATGTCTTGATTGCTTATGTTGAATTGTATGTAAGTTGAACTCCAATTTCAATCATTTGAAGATCTCTAGATGATTTTGGATTTTTAGCTTAATCATATTTGAAGATCTCTAGATTCCAGTTTCTAGCGGTGATATTTATTTGCAGAGTTTATGAGATGTGTAGGGGCCTTTTGGAATGTCGCATCAACAAGCCCTGGCACAGGTCACTGCACAGGCTGCACAAGCCCAGTCCCTTATGCAAATGCAAATTGAATATACAAACTCAGCATCTGCAGTGCCTGCGACATCTCTGGCACAGCCAATGTTCCAGCAGGCACCATCTTTACCAGATGAGAAAGTTGCAGTGACTGAGTCGTCCGAGTTATCGCCGTCTGATCTGAGAACACAACTTCCCTTGCAAGTAGATAAACCAGCTGATGATGGGTACAATTGGAGGAAATATGGGCAGAAACAGGTTAAGGGTAGTGAATTCCCGAGGAGTTACTACAAATGCACACATCCCGAATGCCCTGTCAAAAAAAAGGTTGAGCGTTCTCTTGATGGCCATATAACAGAAATAATCTATAAGGGACAGCACAACCATCAACGTCCTCTAAATAAGCGCTCAAAAGATGCTGTAACTGCTGGTGGTGGTGATTCACATGTTCAGGAGCATCCGCAATTTACTTCCCATGTTCAGAGTAGTGATTTTAACCAATTAAAGGATGGTGAACCTTCTAATTTAATGCTTAGAAAGGAGCAGGAATCTAGCCAATTAACTCCTGAGCATTTGTCCGGTACAAGTGACAGTGAAGAAGTTGGTAATTCTGAGTATGGAGCAGAGGAAAGATGTGAAGGTGAACCTGAACCCAAAAGACGGTATATCTCAACGAGTCATCGTCTTCTGATGCTTATACAGTTTAACTCCCTATCTATTCTAATACACAATGAATTTGTTCTATGCAGCAACACAGAAGTTAGGGTTGTGGAGTCTGCTGCTTCACTCAAGGCTGTAAGTGAACCCAAAATTATTGTGCAAACAACTAGTGAAGTTGATCTTCTGGACGATGGCTACAGGTGGCGGAAATATGGGCAGAAAGTAGTGAAAGGGAATCCTTATCCAAGGTGATTATACGCTCCTTGTCAATGGTTATAAGCTGGTAGCTATAATTAGAAACCTCAGATTCTGATAATGTAAAGCAACAATCTGGCTTGGGTTTTTGTTGGTCGTCCTTCAATGATATGTCGATAAAGATGATAGCTCGAACTTTGAAAGAAACAATCTAATCTGATTCAACTATCTAGCTTTGGCATAACAAAATTGCTTACTATACTATTACTTGAAGCTGTCCGTAACATATTTATGCTTTGTTGTGATAGTTTCTGGACCTCTGTCACCAATTGAGATGGTCTAAACTTGTCTGCACTTATCAGCATTTTGAAAAGGTTTTATTGTTTATGCGAAATACTGATTTCAACAAGTAGATGATGGAAAGAGGGTATTCAATATTCATATATCTACTTAGTGAGCCTGAAGAAGGAAAATCTGTGTTTTCACTGGTAGAAGGCTTACGCAATACATTGGCTTCTTGTTAATCCTATAACAGCATTAATGCCTTTTCTTTTACATGTTTATGTTATATGCATGTATCAATAATGATGATATGAACATATACGTCTATGCTACTACACATATATTGGATTTTAATATCGATCTTTTATCTTTGAGTAATAGAAATAATTTGTGGATTGTTCTAGTGTAATGCATATAACAGTTGTTTATCATGCATGGTGATGATTGAAGCCGTACCAAAGCACCATTACCATTTTCCTAATCTCATCTTTAGATTGGTAACGAACTAAAAAATGACGATTGCATTGAAGGTAATATTACATTTATGTGATAATTAGATATAACAAATGCATATTACTTTTTCTCTATCTTGCATACATAAGTTCTGTCTCCTGCCCATATAATTAAGCATCGAGCAAATCAGTGTCCATATTTCATTGAAAAGTTTGTCTCCTAACAATAGAACATAAGCACATAAAGGACACAATATACTACTACTTCCTCTAATGACAATCTTTTGGATTCTTACTCTATAAGATATTAACAATTCAAAATTCATCAACTACAAATTTAATATAGCTCATTAGGTAAGCCAGAGTAACAACAAAAATTATTTAATAGGTAAAGCTCACATGTATTGTTAGTACCACATGTTTTTAATATCACGCCGTTGCTAGTGTAAGTGTTAGCACAAAAACTCAGCTCCGATTTTGGTGTTACAGATTACTGAATCATTTGCCTTTTACCATATATAATCCACAATTTTCCCTAGTCACCTTCTTTTATCATATATCCCTCACTACCAGCACTTCAGAAGCGCAAGTGCATCCACCGAAATACCAGAGGAAAAGAAAAGTTGAGAATATCCAAGATCACAACTGGCATAAATTTTCTTTCATTTTGAACCTTTTTCTTCTGTGACCTAAAGTTCTACAGATATTACAGGATTTTAATTGAATTAAGATTTCTGAGGTTGAAGTGAGTATCTAAGATACTGTGCTGTTCTTTTAGATGTAAATTATGAGGCAATAAGCAACCAGATTTACTGTTTGTAATTTAGTATGTTGAAAAGATGGTGTTCTTCTGCATTTAAGTCGATCAGCAATAATGCTGTGGATGCTATAATACTTTCTTTACTTGTTAAATGTGCAGGAGCTACTACAAGTGCACGACTCCTGGATGCAATGTTCGTAAACATGTGGAGAGGGCTTCAACTGACCCTAAGGCTGTCATTACGACGTACGAGGGTAAACACAATCATGATGTTCCGGCTGCCAGAACTAGTAGTCACAGTATTGCCAACTCTAACATACCACAGGTTAGGCCACATCATGCCGAAGACAATAGGCACACCTCAAGTGGCAAGACAGATTTCGCGAATAGGCCGATAGCACGCCTACTTTTGAAAGAAGAGCAGATAACATAAACTTTTCTGGTTTTGGGAATATGACAGAGCATGAACAGTAGACAACAAAGTGCATCAATGGGGAAAAAGAAAAAAAGATGTAACGTCTGCTATTTCAGTGAGCCAATTTATCGTCAGCATTCTGTGGCCATAGTTTTGTTCAAGGCCGAGTGCTCCACTTGATGATATAGATCAGAAAGAGGGACAAATGGAAAGGAGCCTGTTTAGGAGCGAGCTTGCGATGCGTTGTTGTATGGGTAACTGCCGAGGCAGAGCATGTTGTATTTAAATTTCTTTTCCTACCCTGCATTCTTTTGTACATGAAGATACAATAGTGATGCTTTATAGAATACATCATGTTGTACTTTATAATACTACTACTTGTGTGTTTGTTCTTCCCATCCCAATGGAAGTTCTTTGGACAGGTTGATGAATGCTTACTTTGAACGAGTTGCTGTTGTCTCAAGACTATTTGCCTTCAGATGGGGAATGATATACCGTGTCATTGCTAGGAATGCGTGGAGGCAACGACTTTTTGAAAGAGCTTTTTGTCAGCTGTGTAGTCCTCCAAGCACACTAATCAAGTACTACAGCGTAGGAATTATTTTCAGGACGCTAACTGAAAATAATGAAGTTCGATAATTACAAACATCACCCATTATTGAAACGTGCAAAACAGATCTCTTTACATTTCCAGAAAATGATATAGCTGTTGCTGCTCTGACTCCCACTTTTGTGGACCGCATCTTACATGGGAATAGGTTTAATGAAACAATGTCTGCCATTCGATTTCGGATACGTATGCAAGCTATTGACCAGTGGAGACTCAGGATTGACATGCATAGTTTGGAATTTTCTGTCTTGCCAACTGGTTGTTTGTGCGGAAGTAAAATAAAAACTAGTGTAGGATTTGTATTCGTTATCAAGAATCTTCATTGATCATTGTCAACATGAACCCGACTGTTCCCGCGAAAGTATATGCATTTTTTGAAGGTTTGCTGATCGTGGCCATATCAATCATATCGATTCGGCGACTGAAATCATTCGAATTTGCAATATTAGGAGCCCTCTTGATATTAAGAGTGATATCCTGGAGAGTGCATTCGCTTTAACGATTCAGTTTCACAGATGGATGGTCAACTATTATGGTCCAGAATAGTCACATATTTCTTAGCGGATGGAGATGAAAACAAAGCATTGATTAGGATCTCTTGAGAGTACAAAAAGAATGAATTAAATTTTATTCAAGAACACATCCCAGCGCGATTATCGGCAGGATATGAAACACTTGCGTTGAAGCATTACATCCTCTGCTAATTTCATCCTTCCTCTTCTCTCCTCACGCGAAGAATAAGCGTCTTTCTCTGAAATTATTTACCAGTTGACAAACCGCTCTCGATCCCCCTCGGTGCTGATGTAGGGTGTTCTCTGTCATTTGAGACATCAACCTTCATCAAGGGTCACTATCGTTGGTATCTGGCCATGATTAACAAAATCGATCTTATTCAAACGCATGCAGCATAAAACTTGCTCGGGAAGTTCCTCTTGTTTCTGTGCCTGTCAACCAAATCCAAAATTGGTGGTTACTAAACATGACAGTTGACAGATGAAAAAGTCGTAGCAAGGTAATGAACTTATTAAACGGCCGAAAGCTGGGTTTCACATGTCTATAGCTGAAGAAAGATTAAGGGCCTCATGCATCACTTAGCTGGTATTTAATGAGCTAACTAAGCAGGACATCAAGGTGAGAAGGCAAGGTTATACCTGTATGGTTAGACCCAGATCGAGAATGCCGTTCTTTAAACGATCCCGAAAAGCTTCTAATCCTTTCCTAGATATGTAGCTGAATCGATGTATATCAAGGTCAATCTCAAAATAATTAGGTCCCTGCAAGATAAAAGACATTGATTAGCATATAAGATACCACCGACATGTTCAAAGTAAAAGCTTACCATCGTCTTACATAGGTCCAAAAAGAGACATGTCTGATAGGGAAAACGTATTTTAAAGATCAACTGGCAAAAGGTGTATGAAGCTGATCGTGTGATACATATGTGGCAGTAACTTTCTGTTAAATAAATTCAAATGGAGGGAGAAAGGAAAAGGAAGTACCTAACTGGGTCCCACTATATCTAAATGACTGTAACGGAGCTAATAAGAGTGGACGATATTTCACAACTACATGCAAAAGACTAAAATTTAACTGTATTAACATAAGTGCAGCAACGGAACTGCTATTTATTTGTGTCATATCAAGTGAAATGACATGCCGAAGAGAAGCATTTAACAGGTGTTGGCCCGTCAATATGACATTTTAAAATGCAAAGAACTTCAAGCGCTTGCATAGTTTTGCTGACATGAAGGATAAATTTACAAGTGAAAAATCAAATGCCATCGGAATGATAACACTCCCTTGGGTCACGTTCTCAAGATTAACTAGAATGAATATGTTGTAAGTTGATTTGGGAAACAATGTGACAGAGTCTAGATAACTCTCTTCAAGAATGGCTCGAGTTAAAATCCCGAAAAAAACGAGGAACGGAATCTCAACGAAGTATATACAAAGAATACAAAACCTTCAGTTACCTTGAAGAAATTGTGTTGTGGACGCGAGAGAACAGGCTTTTCATTATAAGCATGTAAAAGCTTCCTTTCTGCTGAACTAAGTTGAAGGTCCTCTGGGTTGACCACCCCAACCATGATCTTTAGCCTCTCTCTAAAATGAACTAAGCTCTCCTTTGCAAACCCTTTAACTTTTTCCATTTCATCTGCGACCAATCTCTGCATTGGAAACCAATCTTTGCTGTTATGAATCATTAAACAAGATGACAATGCCATAAAGTTCGATAACATTTTTAGTTTCTTTTGCATCGTTCAGAATGCTAGAGGAATGGACGGGTTATGTTTCATCCATGTGATAAATGGACCGGAAACATTGACAGTAGCGAAGGAAAGGATAGTGCATGAGGAGGTTCCATCAAACTCACAAAAGTTCAAAACTTAGTTGAGTTCTTTTCAAATGATCATATATTCTCAGTACCTGGTAACAGAATTCTAGGATATGGTGAACGAAGAAATGGAAAAATATGGCAAGTATTCAGATGAAGTTGTCTGTAACAAGAAAAACTTGCAGTGATTGCCTACCTTAATGCTATCTTGAAACTGAGGAGAAATCTCTGCATCAATATTATCAGATACTTTGAAATATAACACAAGACTCATTCCTTCCCCATCATTATCACCAAACATGGTTGTGGGGTAGGTTGGAAGCTGCAGGAAAAAGAAGAAACTTTTCATCTCTACTGCTCAAAAGAATTTTAACTTCTGAACAAAATGAAAAAGACAAGTCTCACCAGAAAATAGACCATCATACACAGTAAAATCCATGCATTGTGCAGGATATCATAATGAAAAAAACTGTGGTTTAATCATCTCTACCTTTTGCTTCCTAGCCATCTTAAACAGGACAAGAGAAGAACTAGCAGGATGTTACTATAGGTTACTGATTAAAAGAAGTAGAAAAGACTGAAGGTTGTTACTAGGAATTAGGAAGTGCTAAGAGCACCACCCTTACTTATCGACACCATCCTAATCAAACCAACCCTTTTCCTCTGTGCTGCACTCTGTGGTGTGTGTGTGTGTGTGTGTGAGAGAGAGAGAGACGAGAGAGAGAGAGAGAGAGAGAGAAACCTGTATATTAACTATTAGAAGAGAGGGCACTTTGTCATGTCCTCTGACAGAGGGAAGATCGAGGTGTTGAGCAATATGATGTATCTTTCGTGGGCAAACATATAAATCAGCCCCAATGGGCACATAAGGGCTGCAATCTGGAGCTGGAAATTTCCTTTTGTCCCTGCAATTTTTGCACGTATAGTGAGAATTAAGATAGTGAAATATGAACAAAGTGTACCAAAAGCCAAATTACAACGACAGTCTTGTTTGTGGGAATAATTTAGTACGTGCCAGAAAGATTAATTCAAGAAACATGCCTAAAATAATTCTCTCCACGGAGTTTAAAGACCGAAGGCGAAACTGCAGACCAACTTCCTGCACTTGGCTTCTCCACTTTTGAGCATGGTAATAGAAGTCCTGCTCTGGGCCTATATATGAACCTCTCCGATGTACCTGCATACCAGTTCATAACATTTGAAATCCAGTGTAGTCCATTAATGCATGAAAGCTACTCTACTCATAAGCACCGAAACATTAAAAAAAAGTACATTAACCATAATGGATAGCGATACTGAGAAATTCATTTAAGAAAACTTCTTTGACTAAGCTGAGAAAACCAAGAAAAACATAAACAGTGGCAATATGCTGAGGAAACAAAATTGAAAAGCTTCAATTAGCTTATTATAACCAAAGATCCATGCTGCTTTGGCCATAACACTATGTTCCACAATGAGCCAGAAGATCTGACTGGGAAAGCAGATACTTGAATATCACATATTCACAACCATACGTTTGAAAATGTCTATCATCTGATCGAATTTGTAAAATCTTCACTTGTTAAAAGTGATTCAACAAGAAAATGCACCTTCAGTTGACTCTCCCTTCAGTAACATTCTACAAAAAAAGAAGATGAAGTGCCTTTTTGGAAAATATAATGGGATTGGTGCTTAGCAGCCAAATAAAAAATTGAAAGCCCAATGGCTTGGACAGTAGAAAAGGCATTAAGATAACTCCAGCACAACCTGTTAGCTATTTAAACTTCATCAACAAATACTGAGACGATAAAAAACACAAATATCACATCAAGCAGTAGCATTTGTGGCCTGGAAAAGAAATGGGAGAAAGTATTGTGAACTTACAATATTCGGTAAAGGTTTCTTCTCCATCACAGGATTTCCTCTTGAGAGACAACAGGATAACTCTTGATTTCTTTCGTTGCAAAGACACGGGACTCATGGGCATTTGGTTCTTCCAATCAGAGTTCCCCGAAGGTTGCAACTTAGCTATGCAAGTTTTCAAGTTGTTTTCCTGCAATTTTTCTCTGGGATCATGTACACCTCCATCTACTTTTACATGACTGTCACAAAAGCCCTCATATTTACACCCTGCATCTATGTAGTGCAATTCACTCTCGTACTGAAGAACTTGACCACTCGGTACAGCCCCGGTGGCATTACCTACTGAAGGAAAACCATCTGCAACCAAACAAGAGAAGAAAACAATCACACATTGATCATGAAGATGATGGATTGAACGGACCAATGGCCTCATCAAGAAAAGAACCATTACCTCCATGTAAACTAATGAAGTCATCATCTGAATCGGACTCTAGGATACTGACCGAGTCAAACCAAGCTTCTTCCTGGCATATTCCTAAATATAATTGAGTGCGAGTGAGATGGTATGGCTCTTGCAATTATCACATTTTCAGAAAAAAAGAAAGAAATGATACCAAAGCCTAGCCAAAACTAATAAACGATGCACCGTAGGATACGATAGACATAATGTTCAACATCTCAAATTTCTTTATTAATGTGACTTCAATGAGATATACAATTGAAAAGGTAGGGATTCATATCCCCAAATTATCTCTGTCGAGGATTTAAGATAATACGATATCAAGGAACAATAACTCCACGTGAGAACACATTTAACATGAGAATAAGTGAGCTTTTCACGTAGAGAGAGAGAGAGAGAGAGAGAGAGAGAGAGAGGATAGTACCGTTTTCATCAATTTGACTGTGGTTCCATTGTAATTGAGTTAAGTGCAACGTCATGTTCGAGACATCTGATCTCTTGCAAGCAGTAGCAGCACCTTTGTTGAAATCCATATGAACAAAATTGCTCATGGAAATATCTCTTACACGATTTCCAGCATCGCTCTTCCTTATAGGCACATCGACAACTGAACTGCATATTTTTCGGTTCCATTTCCCAGGTCTTCTAAAGTATCTCCTACGTGTCTTAACTTGCTTATGTGTGGTTGAAACACAGCCACCCATTACGATTCCTGTGTTTTATAAACTTGTGTTACAATGCATCAGGTGGGCTTGTATTTTCTACTATCTACCTCACAAAGTGAGCATGTATCTGAACTGAGAAAAGGAACCTCCCTTGTTTTGCAACAGCAGATTTACAGAGGAATTCATGTCTGCTGTTCTTAAAAAACATATCAAAGAAATTCTTTGAACTGGATACGTACATCTAAAATGTCTTTTTTTCTCCATCATGGCTTTAGCATTCAGAAAAAAGTCACAATGATAACTCTAATGCATCTAATAACATCAAATAATGAAACAAAACAAGCGCGAAAAAGAAGTCAAATCAACCAAAATGCCCATATTTTTACAAGAGTAGAGTGGCATCATTGTGAAAACAGAGGAATCTCCCCTGAAACAATTCGGTAACAAGTTTACAACTTTTCTAGTCGTAGTAAATGTTAGATTGAGTCATGGAGACCACTTGGAACTTAGCAAAGAGAAATTTAATATTGTTCAATTGCACTCTTCATTAAATTTAACAACGTCCAAATCATGTCAAATTGCACAGGCAGATTGACTTGCAAACTCCTGCTATAAAATGCAGGACTGCCAAATTTCTAACGACTTGCTTGACACAGCACGGTGGAAACATTGATTAAAGAGGTGATCCATTCTTCAGTGTCTATGAGATCAATCAAACCAAGGTTATCTCTAGTTGTGATAACCATTCTTCCAGCTAAACTTGATGTAAATCATCTCAAAAGACTTGTTATGAGGGATAAGGTACTTACCTCCGAGAAAGGCACATATGCAGAGTATTGTCTTTGTCCTCTCATAAAGCAAAGCTTCCTAACTCAGTTTTGGATGGAGGCATCTCATAGAGGGTCACTCATTGCACAACCATACTCAACTCCTTCAAATGAAACCATACAAGATAAGAACACACGCAGTGAAACTCAAGGTACACCCTGCTACAGCGATTGCTCTTCAACCAGAGGAAAATAGGAATAGAAGACGATCCAAACAATCGCCGAATTCAGACCAAAATATAAAAAAATTTCCCCTTTAGACAGCAAGCGATATTGAAATCTTAGCCAGCAAGAAAATGAGAACAATCTGGACAGGATATAAGCACATAAAAAAATGCCAGCAAGATAGAAATGAATCTCAATGGAGAAGGATGTGTCAGAGACAAATAAAAAAGGATAAAACTGGAGAACTACCAAAGCAAAAAGAAATGAGCAGTAACAGGTCATTGTCATTCCCATAGGGAACAAAGAAATTATTTGGAATGTGCCATGTGTAAAACCTTTGAACATAATCAAAGAAAGTGAAATAAACTACTTAAATATCAAAGTGAAGACAATATGCTTAATCAGAGAGAGCACAGCACTCAGTTAACTGGAAACTTCACCTCAATATCATCACACCGTATGCTTAGACACATGCAGAGAGAGCACGTTACAATGGCTAAAGCCAAAAATTTTAACCTCGGGAGAAAAAGTCCAGATTAACAGCCTCAGTATTCACATATTGACCACCAAAAAGTTGTCCTACATATCATGGACACCCACCAAACAAGAAAAGGTCAAGAAAAATGAATTGGCAAGAACTATTACGAGTCAGCAAAGTTGACCTCCTTTTGCAGATACATGCAAGAGATGTAACAAGCTAAAACTTCCGAAGAAAAAACAGGGTTCTCATGGGAGAGAGTCAATCCCCATCATTTGCCCAAAGAAACAAGAAGAAAAACTTTTGGCATCGCAAGAACAACGGAGAACACCATGGAAGAAGAAACGAAAATACAAGAAAGAAAAAAGAAAGGACAACGAACCGGGGGAGAAAAAACACAAACCTGAGGAGAGTTCTGACATGCAGGACAAAGAGAGAAATTACACCCCCAGATACTTTCCCTCTCTGAAACTGCAAAATTTCAGAGAGAGAAAGAGAGAGAGAGAGAGAGAGAGAGAGAAGGTGATGTGATCCTAATTTATAGTGTCCCCGTCTTTCTCATCGAAGGCTTACGGGACGGGGGGTGGGTGATCTTAGCAGAAAATCCGCGTCCCTCTTCCCCCACGTGCACTCATGTCTCTTGCCTGAGGACGAAAGAACTCACCACGGCCTTCCTCCCTCTCCCTCTCTCCCTCTCTCTCTCCCCTCTTTATACGATCTGCTGCTGCACCATCCATGCATGTACTTTTTACTATTATTAATATGACCACATAACTCGCCGCCCGAGTTCTCACAGTGTAAACTCAAAGGGATGAACTGGGGCGCCGAGCGTTCAACCGGGGGAGCACGTTCATTGGCTGTGAACCGAACTCGCCGTTTTGCCGGTTGGCCGCGGGAGGAAAACGTCGGACTTGACTTTTTCTCGGATTTTGATGGTTTTATGTGGGCACGAGGGACGAGACTTTTGAAGACCTTTCACATATACAGACACGGTCACACGGTTCTTTTTCCTCGTATTTATTATGCGTAATTCGGGACCATATAGTTCTTCATAGGCGCGTGCGACATTATAACACGGGATATTTTCTAAGTTTTAAAAGTTCAAGATTGATTGGCGCGTGATGGGTTCCGGGGTTTCGGATTATACCCATCATGCACCTTGCACCATGTAACATAATCTTCCGGCATATCTACACGAGCTAAGTCGGTATGACAATATTAGTGCTTATTGGTAGTTTATCTCGGGTTTGCCGTATAGGACGGTCGGCGACGACTGGACTTCTACGTCAATCATTTTCGGCGAAAATTGACCGGATTGATTACATTGTAATTTCACGCAAAAATTTAGGATTAAATTGATAAATTTGAAAAGTTTACAACTAAATTGGCTGAATTGACATCTGTATAATAAATTTAGAACTGATTAGATAATTTTACCCTGAAACTTGCGGAACTGACAACTTCTAATGCTTAGGACCCATGTAACTATTAGTCTATTATATCTTTTGTAGCAGACAAATTAAATTATCTATTGTTCAACAAAACGTAGGTGCATATATATGTAATTTATATTCCGGCTCATATACTGTACGGACGAGAATTTGATTTTCGTATTTTTACCTGCTTATCGACATAGTCACCTTGATCATAAACAAATGTAAATAATTAATTAATCCTATATATCTATCTTTTTCAAAATAAAATTATTATCTTCTGTTAATTCTATAATCATTATAGACCACGAATTATCTTGAGGGGATGGCGTTGGGAAAATTTCAATTCGAGGAAATCACCATCTACCGCGACGTTTTGTTATATGCACGCTAAAGTCAACTTAGGTAGCTTTCCAAATTAATTTGCTCTCCCTGTTTCCTCTACCATATATATATATATTATTATTTTTAATTTCAATTTTCAAATCGAGGAGCAATCTTGGAAATTAATAGTGTAAAAATACATCTTCAATGACGCCCGACATAAACAATCTTTTTATTTGTTTATTATTTTTTTTGGTGAAAGATTCGATGCAATTTCCAAGCTGCACATTTAAAGTTCAGGAGTGGTGTTAAAAATTTAATAGATTGTTTAGTACTTTCACTTCGGCCTAGAATTTATATTAAAAACGGTTCGATTTTCGAACTCAATCGTAATACCAAACAAATTTCAAACTTGCACATTCAAAGAAGTTCAAGAGTAGTCTTAAAAACTAAATATTGTCTTTCTAATGCATTCATTTCAATCTATAAATACAGAAAGAGTCATATTTGCCTTCAACCTTAATCAAAGAAGCTCCTTCCAAATACCAACCAAGCTTTCGATTTGTGGGTTACAAATTTGGATATTACCCATTTTTTTTTAATTAAGTTTAGATGCGGGTGCTTGTCCATACTCGTAATCCACTAGTGATTCCTCCCTGATCAAGAACGGAGGACACGTGGTCAAACATGAAAGGCAAAGTAATAATGAGTTGTAGGCTTAGGTTAGTACCGTTTTCATTAGAGCTTGCAAAAAGGCAAATTGGATTGAATTCAAATTGGTGTGAGTTTCTCTTGACACCAAAATGAGGATCGGCATAAATGCTGAATCGATTTTAATGCCGAATCTGGTGTATAATGGGAATTAGCCATCTTCCGAAATTCGTTTGGATAAAGTTCGGGAACATGCTAGGAAGCAAGCGTGAATGGCATCATATTCTGAATTCGGTAATTGATGAAGATCGGGATATTTACCGAAACATGGAAAGTTTATAATCGGGAATATACCGAAATTACAGAAAATCGGTAAAGATGAATTATGACCCAGCCACGTGAATCATGATAATAGGAAGTTATGAGCAAGAAGCGGAGATAGTGAGCACGAGCAGATTGTGGAGAGTTACTTGTCCAAATTTGAAATCGTCCCAGCGATTGAGATCAAGTTTTGGCGGACAATGAATTTGGAAAACGTGGTTAGATACAGCAGTTATTGGAAGCGCCAAGATTCAAAATTTGAAAACATAGAAGTAACCTACAAGCAGTTACAGGGTATGAAGAGATACAAATACTCAGAAGACAGAAAGAGGAAAAGGAAATCAACAACAATGCAAAAACACTCAAGTTTACCTGTACTTTAGTTTCCTCTGTACATTTACTTCCTGCATTTACAGCTTCCCGCAACTTTAGTTAACTTTCAAGTCCTTTACAGCTTTCATAGGAGTATTGTAATTTAGCTTGGAACTTTGTTAATCTCAAATTCATTTTCAATCCATTCGATTGCTATCCGTTCCATATAATCCTGTGTTATATTCTTCTTTTCACCACAACTCTTCTAGAAATCAAGCCACAGAACCTATCTTAATAAAAACCGAAAAATCAAAGATTCGGTGAAAGGTATTCCTCGTCGTAAAACGAGCGAACAGTTTCAATAAAGGAAGAAGAATCCAATCAAAGAGGGAAAAGTACCAAAAAAGTCCTAAACCTTTTGCATTAGTGTCAATTTAGTCCTAAACCTTTTTTTGGTGCCAATTCAGTCATAAACCTTTTGCATTGGTGCCAATTTAGTCCTAAACCTTTTTTTGGTGCCAATTCAGTCCAAAACCTTTTGTTTTTGTGCCAATTTAGTCCTTCCGGTCAATTTTGACCGGATTTTGCCGACGTGGACGCCTGCTGGTCGGCGGCCGGTCATCGGCACTGACGTGGCTCCGACGTGAACAACTTTAATATTATTTTAATATTTTTTTGAATTTTTGTTTTTTTCCTTTTTTTTCTTTTTTTTTCTACTTTTTTTTTTTGGTCTCTCCCTCCTCCCTCGGCTTGGCCGCCGGCCCGGCTGATCGGGCCAGTAGGCCGAGGCCGGCGAGCTCGACCTCGGCGGCCACCGGGCGAGGGTGGCCTCGCCCGGCGAGGGTGAGCCTTGCCTTGGTCGGGCGAGGCTCGACCTCGCTAGATCCGGCGAGGGCTCGAGCCTCGCCTTGGTCGGGCGAGGCCCGACCTCGCCGGGCCTCCGACGAGGGCTCGAGCCTCGCCTTGGTCGGGCGAGGCCCGACCTCGCCAAATCCGGCGAGGTCGGGCCTCGCTCGACCAAGGCGAGGCTCGCCCTCGCCAGTGGTCAGCGAGGTCGAGCTCGCCGGCCTCTGGCCGGTCGCCGGACCGGCGACCAGCCAGAGGGAGGAGGGAGAGACCAAAAAAAAAAAAGTGGAAAAAAAAGAAAAAAAAAAGGAAAAAAATAAAAATTCAAAAAAATATTAAAGTTGTCCACGTCAGCGCCGGTGACTAGCCGCCGGCCGGCAGGCGTCCACGTCGGCAAAATCCGGTCAAAATTGGCCGGAAGGATTAAATTGGCACAAAAACAAAAGGTTTAGGACTGAATTGACACAAAAAAAAGGTTTAGGACTAAATTGGCGCAAATGCAAAAGGTTTAGAACTGAATTGGCACCAAAAAAAGGTTTAGGACTAAATTGGCACTAATGCAAAAGGTTTAGGACTTTTTTGGCACTTTTCCCCGATCAAAGACGTAGAGGAACGAACCTCTATATGGGGTTTAAGCACACATTGCCGGCTTGATTCACCGCTTCATTCGCCGATCGCAAACAATCTCGAAATTGAGTCATTACTTGTGTTTTAATCCATGTCTTATTTAATCTATGCAGGTAAGACAATACGTTATAGATACGAAATCCACATGAGATGGACATAATCGATAGAGAAACAAAAATCACGAGAAAAAACCAAAAAAGGGGTCTCTATCACAGCAGAGAGGCAAGCATTTCAATTTTCTTTTGTGCTTTTTGTCTTTGTTCGGTTCCTAAACGTGCGATTGACGACGGCTCTTTACCAAAAGAATCATCAATTTATGTACACGTCCCACTCGATCCACCTAATGACACCCATTTTGTTCTTAAAAGAATTAGCAACCTGAGAAACAATGGCCTTTGCTTGAGCTCTCATCTAACTCAAGACCGTCTTGTTAACGAGAGAAGCACATCGACCTCTAGTTTCAACGCTCCCACAGATTTCCTCGTTTCTTAAAATCTCTCCTGCCACCAAACTTTGATACCACGAAGTAGAAATTTCAGCAAAATGAAGATGTCGAAATTCCAAATTTCTCTGACTAATTGTTCACGAGTGAAGTCAAATGAACACGGCTCGATTAGTTAGGCATGCGAATCATGTTCTCCCGAAGGCCAATATCTGCATAATATTTTTACAAAGAAATTGGGGAGGAGGTGGGACTTTGAGGTCGTTTAATTAATTAAACCTAGACAAGTGTTTCATATCTGATCAAACTCGAGTGGCCTAACTTTTGTGGAAGTTGTTAATTGGGGCAGCGAGGCAATAGGGTTGTCGTCACAGACACACCAAA